CGTATATCAGAGGTTCTCCGACTCCGGGTCCTCTCTTCTCAAGTTCAAGTTCCAGGACCCGAAGAGAGAAATTGTTCGGTTTCCATGCACTGAATTGATAGTTATGTTTCTATACCTGGATTCTATTTTTAGATTCTAAAACTTGAAGAACATGAAATCATTCATTTTTCATTCTTATACAGAGTGTGGATGAGAGATATTAAAGAACTATTAGACTGTGGAATTTTTGGATCCATTAGATTGCAAGACATTTACTGTAGACTAATATTAAAAAAAAATTTATACTATTGTAGAGTTATAATAAAAGAAAGTTTACAATATTATAGACTAATATTAAAGAAATTTTACAAAATTTAAGACTAATAAAAAGAAATTTTACAATATTGTAGACTAATATTAAAAGAAATTTTACAATATTGTAGACTAATATTAAAAGAAATTTTACAATATTGTAGACTAATATTAAAAGAAAGTTTACAATATTGTAGACTAATATTAAAAAAAAGTTTACAATATTATAGACTAAAACTGAAAGAAATTTTATACTATTGTAGAAAGAAAGTTTACAAATTGTAGACTTATATTGTAGACTGATATTAAAAGAAGTGATTAGGCGCAACTGGTAGAGCTAGGTATCGTTTGTAAGTCCAAAGCAAATGTGCATTGTACAGTCATTTTACATGTCGTTTTTTTTAATTTTGTACATTCTATGTACACTGTACAAAGAACGAATTGAGTCTTTGCCAGAAACTTGAATTTTCCAATTCCTATATTTTTGAAACCAGATGCCGATGGTGTAAGCTTTAGATATTTCAAACTTAGATTATTTTATCTAACAAAATAAATTGTTTGAAATATCTAAGGTCTATACAGGTAGTCAGGTACCACTTACAATACTATACAGGTAGTCAGGTACCACTTACAATACTATACAGGTAGTCAGGTACCACTTACAATACTATACAGGTAGTCAGGTACCACTTACCGTTACAACGTTTTGACTTAAACTACAGATAGTCCTTGACTTAAACCAACCAGATCAAACACAAAAGATTTTTTTTTTGAATTTGTTTATCTTTCTGAAATCATCATTCTCAAATTCATCTTCTATTATCATTTAAATTTCAAATAGTCCTCCAACGACTAAAGAGGCATATATTTTAAACTTGTAGCTGGGTGACTAAAGAGGCATATATTTTAAACTTGTAACTGGGTGACTAAAGAAGCATATATTTTCAACTTGTAGCTGGGTGACTAAAGAGGCATATATTTTAAACTTGTAACTTGGTGACTAAAGAGGCATATATTTTAAACTTGTAGCTGAGTGACTAAAGAGGCATATATTTTAAACTTGTAGCTGAGTGACTAAAGAGGCATATATTTTAAACTTGTAACTTGGTGACAATTTAGAAGATATCGTCCTTGAGAATTGTTAAAATCTAACAATTTCCTTTATTATCTATATACATATAAATCTATAGTTCTTAATCACTGAATTTCTAGATTGTGCTTATAATTCGTAAATTAAAAGTAATTTCATCAAGTTGGTTAGTGACTTAAAGAATGTAGTCCGAAACGGATCAAGACACATCATTCATTTGTAATTTTTTAAATCATAATTAATTAAAACCATTTAGCGCCTTGTCCATTCAGGGATCAGCCATGTGTTTGGTGTCTATATGAACCAATAGAAATTGCATGGCGGTGACATCTTTTTTTATCCAGCTCATTATCCAATTAGAGATAAATCCTTATATCGGTGCCATAACATTAAATGAAAATATTCACTTCTACCTAAACAAAAAATGTTTTATGACTAACTGAATCTTATAAAATTTCAAAGATGTCGATTTTATGTGACATATTGATTCTCTTAGTTGAATAAATTGAACTAAAGGCCAGGACAATTTATGATAATTGGTTAAAGAATCATGCTTGTAAACAACTAGGTGTACCGCTTTAGTATTTTGGCGGTACAATCCAAACTATAGGACTGCAAAGGTTCGCCCACATCAGATATTTAAACCGACTGTGCATAATAAAGGAAAAGAGACGACAAGACTGTCAGGTTTAGTGGGATTCACTGTAAATGTAAATCTAAAGTACTTGGATTGATAAAGTTCTGGGTTGAGAGTTGTGTGGATAAGATTAGGTTTATGAATTATATATAACTCTAGGAAAAGACAAGTTATGAAAGGTTGGATACATCTTTTAAACTCTATGCCACTGTTTGTTTCCTAACTACACGGTGTCCTATCAAACATGGCAACCGAGAGAAATCCTAAATATCGTCTTCATTTGGTATTTGATATCAATATCCCAAATGAATCCCAAAGTGTCGAAATATGAACAAAATTCTTTATATTTCCAGTCATTTTAACAGCACAAAAATGTCAGAACTTATGGAATTTTGTGATTATTTTTTCAGTAGCTTAGAGGGTTAAAAAGATGTATCCAGCCTTTCATAATTTGTCCCTTCCTAGAAAAATATATTATTCTTATATAATGAACCAAACCCTACTCTTCAATTCGCAACTCAGAACTTGTATAATTCAAGGCAACGTCTAGGTCACTTACTGTTTTTCTTTTGATCCGTGTTCAGAAACAGGAGTTTAAAAGATAGATAAATAAACTGTTAAAGATATATTTAGAATCGAGAAACATATTAAAAGATTTGCTTTTGGGGGATCCTGCATTATCTTGCAGTATAAATCATACAAGATAAATCCTGCAAAATAAATCCTGCAGGATAAATCCTGCAATTTAAATCCTGCAAAAAAAATCCTGCCAGATAAATCCTGCAAAATATATCCTGCAAAATAAATCCTGCTAAATAAATCCTGCAAGATAAATCCTGCAGATAAAAATTCTGCAAGATAAATCCTGCAAGATAAATCCTACAAAATAAATCCTGCAAGATAAATCCTGCAAGATATTGATCCTGCAAGATTAATCCTGCAAGACAAATCCTGCAAGATATATCCTATAAGATAAATCCTGCAAGATAAATCCTGCAAGATATATCCTACAAGATTAATCCTGCAAGACAAATCCTGCAAGATAAATCCTGCAAGATATATCCTACAGGATAAATCCTGCAAGATAAATCCTGCAAGATAAATCCTGCAAGATAAATCCTGCAAGATATATCCTACAAGATAAATCCTGCAAGATATATCCTACAAGATAAATCCTGCAAGAAAAATCCTGCAAGACAAATCCTGCAAGATAAATCCTGCAAGATATATCCTACAGGATAAATCCTGCAAGATAAATCCTGCAAGATAAATACTGCAAGATATATCCTGCAAGATTAATCCAGCACGATAAATCCTGCAAGATATATCCTACAAGATAAATCCTGCAAGATAAATCCTGCAAGATATTTCCAACAAGATAAATCCTGCAAGATATATCCTACAAGATTAATCCTGCAAGATAAATCCTGCAAGATATATCCTACAAGATAAATCCTGCAAGATAAATCCTGCAAGATATTTCCAACAAGATAAATCCTGCAAGATATATCCTACAAGATTAATCCTGCAAGATAAATCCTGCAAGATATTTCCAACAAGATAAATCCTGCAAGACATATCCTACAAGATTAATCCTGCAGGATAAATCCTGCTAGATTTCTTATGTTATGGTTCCGCAAGGTTCTTCAATTCGTTCTTTCTTTGTGAAATTAGTCCGTTTATCTGTTAGGAACCATGTTGTAGGTACAAAACCAAATTTAGACTTCGGATTGTCATATCTACAGAGTTTCTGTTCGTCATTCATTTGTGAGTAACCCTGTATTTCTAGCAAAAGTTTCTCTCTTATGGGAGTAAATTGACTCTGTAAAATTTTATTTGAAAATGGAGAAACTTCGGACAGATAATGAATAAACAATGTCAAAGAACTCCCCTTCTGTCTTATCTTGTTCTAAATATAAGAATGCAACACTACACTTACAGATAATGAACCGTGCATTAAGCAGTTTTTGAGTGAAATGTAGATTACGAAAGCTGTAAAGTTAGCATAGTACAATATCATGTTTCTGTAGAGTATACAATACGGCTCAAAATAAGTTTGGGAACTGTTTGATGGAATCTATTAATAGATTATACTCGGAGCCTTGTAATATAAATATATTACATAAGCTTAAAGGAAGTATTCCTGAAATTTAAAAGTGAGTTCGTTACCAAATATTAATGAATTTAACCTTTTTTATTACGATAAAATGCTCTTCATAATTTTCACAAGCGCTCTGTGTAAATGAATAAATTAATTTTGAATTTTTCAACATTCCGTTCTTTTATGCACAATGTATAATATACATTTTAATATTTTCTTTGAAGTCTCATTCTTTGTAGAGAATGCTTTATTCTTTATTTTTCTCCTTTTATACGTACATGCGTACAACTTGCTTTAGCTTCCTTAAAGTAAGCCCTATACTTCAAAGGAACCGAAGTCTGCTTATCCACATATCGTTAGGCTGGGGCCTTTCGTATTCATTTGCAAACAGACACATACTTTTCTTGGAGGTCAGCATTTGATGAGAAATACATGTTTCTATTTTTATGTTTAACGGAGTATTTGGCAACATTCTGACATATTTTCGCGAAAAAAATAGCGTAATTTATAAAATAATGATGTCCATGATATTTAAAGATTTCAAGTTCTTCGAATCTGTAAAATCAAAATCAGTTTTGAAGAGCTATTCGCGCTCATTTTATAGTTACATTTTTATTTAACTGTTGATTGTTTAAGACGCCATTTTTTCATTGTTTTTCAAAACACAAAAATTTAACAGATTTTAGATTCTTTCTAACAAACTCTGATTTTCTAATCCTTCTCTCTTTCCAACTCAACTTAGGTATTTAAAACTATAAAGTTTGCTAGATTAAATAATTTAAGTTTGAAAAATAAAAGGAGTACACTATTAGATTGCAAAAATATAAGGATTATAGGAGAAAAGTCTTAATATATTTGCGAAATTTTAAAAATCGTAAATGTTGACAGTTTTAATTTTTATTGGATAACAGACAGAAACACAAACAGATAAGGAACATATTTTACTTAATTTAACATATGTATTGTATAGTTGTTAATTAATAAATCATGTTAAAATCTGAAACCACCTTCCCTTTCACTCCAATATCTAAAGAAAAAAAACATTTAAAATTTTTTAAAAAATCCAAAGAAAAAAATAATTTTATTCAGGTTTACCTTGAATCTTGTAAATATTTCGTTTTGTCAGAATATACATAAATTCAAAATCCTTCCCGCCAAATTTGATATCAGAAATATCAGATTCTGGTAGATCTAAAATATAAAAATATAACAGATTCTGGTAGATCTAAAATATAAAAATATATCACATTTTGGTGTTCAAAATTGTTAAAAATCAGATTTGTAGTCCTTAAGTTTTTATATCAGGTTCTGGTAGTTCAGAAATATAAATATCAGATTCTGGTAGTTCTGAAGTATAAATTCATTACATTCTCATAGTTTTCAAGAATATATTTAAGGTTCTGGTAATATCTGATTCTGTGTTTGTTAATATTTTGTAAAAATACACTGAAAACTGTATGGTTTGACATTTCCAAAATAGAATGTGAAATTAAATATTAATTTATCCAATATTTCTAGAACAATTTCTTCCCTTCACATTTACCAGATTAATTTTACATCATTTACTATATAAAACCTTGTTTTTAATATTAAACCTTGTTTTTAATATTAAAACTTGTTTATAATATTAAACCTTGTTTATGATATTAAACCTTGTTTATAATATTAAACCTTGTTTTTAAAATTAAACCTTGTTTTTAATATTAAACCATGTTTATAATATTAAACCTTGTTTTTAATTAAACCTTGTTTTTAATATTAAACCTTGTTTATAATATTAAACCATGTTTATAATATTAAACCTTGTTTTTAATATTAAACCTTGTTTTTAATATTAAACCTTCTTTATAGTATTAAACCCTGTTTATAGTATTAAACCTTGTTTATAATATTAAACAATGTTTATAATATTAAACCTCGTTTATAGTATTAAACCTTGTTTATAATATTAAACCTTCTTTATAGTATTAAACCCTGTTTATAATCTAGTATTAAACCTTGTTTATAATGTTAAACTCTTCACAACGAAATTACATGAACCAAAAATTCTTAACCAAAGTCAAAATTTTTCTGTTATATGAAAATTAAAAATATGATTTTGTTTTACCTTGAAGGTTTTTAAACGTAATTTTGAGTGACCGTACGATGTTCTAATCATACTGTATCCTACCTATAGAAAATATAGTGGTATCTGTATCTACTGTATCCTACCCATAGTAGATATGATGGTATCTGTATTCGGATCTACTTTATCCTGCCTATAGTAGATATGATGGTATCTGGACCTACTGTATCCTACCTATAGTAGATATGAATATGATGGTATCTGTATCCGGATATACTGTATCTAACCTATAGAAAATATGGTGGTATCTGGACCTACTGTATCCTACTTATAGTAGATATGAATATGATGGTATCTGTATCCGGATATACTGTATCCTACCTATAGACGATATGATGATATCTGTATTCGGATCTACTTTATTCTACCTATAGAAGATATGATGGTATCTGGACCTACTGTATCCTACCTATAGTAGATATGAAGGTATCTGTATCCGGTTCTACTTTATCCTAACTATAGAAGATATGATGTTATCTGTATCCGGATATACTGTATCCTACCCATAGACGATATAGTGATATCTGTATCCGGATCTACTATATCCTACCTATTGAAGATATGATGGTATCTGTATCCGGATCTACTGTATCCTACCTATAGAAGATATGATGGTATCAGTATCCGGATTAATCTCAACCAAGGTTCCAGATTCTCTGGAGGAAATCCCAACCCACAGATGTCCGTTCTCATCCGTGACTAAACCTAGAAGAAGAGCTGAATAATAACTCATGGAAATGTAAAAATACTAGCCTTAGAGGGCGCTTCGCGCCCATCTTCTAAATTAATTGTGAACATGTTCTCTTTGTGTACATCGTGAAACAAAACAAAAAAATTCGCAGATTTTCACAAAAAAATCGTGGATTTTCAAAATTTTAAAAAATTTAATGAAGATCGAATTTTGATGGAGACAAATATTTAAAATTTCAATCATTCATAAACCTTCCCTGGGGTCCTTAGATGTCCCACAAAAAATTTGGGCCCGATCGGTTCAGCCGTTTTGACGTTTATTGGATACAAACAGACAGACAGACAGACAGACAAACAGACAGACAAGCCAAATTTATATATAGATATATTAAAATATTTTCAAATAATTCATAATTCATAATTCATACCAAATGGTCTGGCGTTCGGGTCTTCAAGAAGTTGATTGAGAGAAAGAGTGTTTGATGCAGCATACATTTCTCCTGACTTTAGGTTGTAAGGAACACTATATAAACTCCTTAATAATTTTAAGAATATAAGTTTACTCATGAATAAAAATGCTTTACTTAGGGCACTTCGCGCACCCTTTTGCGTTTAAAGAAATTGAGTCTTTGTCACAAACTCTGATTTTCTAATCTCTATATCTTTGCAACCCAATTCCGTAGACCTTAGTAGATATTTCAAACTATGAATTCTGTTAGATAAAAAAATCTAGGTTTGAAATATCAAAGGTTTATACCATCAGGTGGGAAAAATATAGGGATTAGAAAATCAGAGTTTGTTACAAAGACTCAATTCCTTTTTCTCCTCAAGCCGCCATTATTTTTCTTCATAATTGTTAAACTTAATTTTTCTCGTAGTTTCTGTTTAAATTGGTGCATTTAAAAAATGATAATTGATTAATGTCATCACAAAAATGAGGAATCACTAAAAATAAAGTTCACGGGTACCTGGTATTTGCATCTACTATATATAGTGTAGAGTTATCTAAGCTAAAGGACATTCCAGTTGGACGACTCACCTAGATAATATTCATTTCAAAATTAAGGTTTAGGGACTATCCAGGGGGTTCTCTACCTGTGTGCTCAGTTAGCTGTACTGTACACTTACAACTGTTTACTAATATTGATATACTATAGGTTATGTCGTTTAAACTATCGTTTCATGATCGATGGACATTCTCTATTCACAAGGGTGCCCTTTTAACCAAAACAAAAAAATTTAAACAAAGAAAAAGAATTTCTCCAGAATTCTTGAACATACAAAGCTTTTAATGTTACTGATGTGAATAAGACATGGCACTCTTTTAATGGAGTGTTACTTAAAATACGTTTAAAGTCCCTTTCCTGGTTAAAGTTTACAATGTACTCAGAGTAGAACTGAGTGTTATGATGACTATATGATATATCTGACAGCAGAAGGTTACATTATTTCATATTTGCATAATTATTAGATTAGTTTACAGAGGTAGGATTGATAAATGAGAGCGGAGAAGTTATTGAAAGTTATTCTGATAGAAGAGCAGGAAATGAATTTGCACAGAACATTTCATAGTTGAGAATAGTTGCAGTAAGTTTATCAGATATATCACCACTCACCAGCTTTCAAATTTATTATTTTGAAATTTTAAGAATTATTTTAAACAGATGATCCAACTAAATGAATATAAAAGTACCCAAATGTTCTAATTGAATGAATATTAAAGTATCCAGAGTCCAAAACTAAAGAATACGCGAATTTTAAGTTCGAGATTAAAAGTTCTGTAAAATAATGAATAGCTACTTAAATATTAAACTTTCTCAATTTTAAATTTGAATTTCCCGGGAAAAATCTGAACCAATCAGAGAAAAGGATTTACGGAGAATTATTACGTAAGTATCGGTATGATCAGCTGTTTTCTTAAATTTTGAATTATTTACGTAACGGAAGACAAAACATATTTCCAGTTACAACAGTATTTTGGGTTTACATGCAAACATTAATAAAACTATAACGTGAAATTTATTTAATCGGTTTTTACTTCTAAATATATCATAATTAGTTGGATGCCGCTAACCACTGAATGATGATAGACAAATAAGGATTGCGGGATTTCAAGATTTTAACCACACGGTTAAAGTTCAGGTTTAAATTAAGTCAGAAGTGGCATTTAACCATGAACTTAAAATTTCAGTCAAAACTTTTCGTTCTTTAGTTTTAGACTCAGAACTGAAAACTTTAGAATGAGATATCCCTAATCCCGTTTACTTAACCTGAGTATCCAAAGAACACACTTTTGATTTTCTTCCTAAACTAATCGATTTCTTGGATATAGTGGAGAAAAATCAAAAACCGGTTTTTTAAATTAGATAGTCCCTCCCGTTTTTTTTTATGTGAATCTTAAATGGCGCGCAAAATTTCAAATTTCCCGGCTTCTGATACGCGATTCTAATTGGTTGAATTTTATGCACTTCTCAGGATACAAACAAGTACACGATTAGGTTATTCTCGATATAAAGAAAAAGAGAGAATCAAGCATTTATTTCGATATCCACTAATACTATTCTAAAGTTTTCAGCTCAGATGATCTAACGGAATGAACATATAAGTACCCAGATGATCTGACTGAAAGGATATAAAAGTACCAAGATAATCTAACTGAATGGAGATAAAGAATAAAGATACCAATATTATCTATCTGAACGAATATTAAAGTACCCAGATAATTTAACTGATAAAATATAAATGTAAACGGTAAAAGGTAAACGGTAAACGATGATTTAAATATTACACATCATATTCTATGTCAAAGCCAAAGGACTGCCTGGACTGCAAAGGAATTGAGTCTTTGCAACAAACACAAATTTCCTAATCTCTATTTCTGGGAAACCTGAAAATGTAACCTTGGATATTTCAAACTTATATTATTTGATCCAACAGAATATACAGCTTAAAAAATATGAAAGGTCTACGACATTGGGTTGCAATGAGAAAGGGATTAGAAAATCAGAATTTTTGGAAAAGACTCAATTCCTTTTTTCTCCTATATGTATGCAATTTTCTCCGATAGTAAACCTTAACTTCAAATTTTCTCAAATAGTAAACCTAGGCTGCAAATTTTCTCCTATAGTGAACCCGAAGTTCAAATTTTCTTCTATGTGTAGTAAACCTATACTTCAAATTTTCTCCAATAGTAAACCTAGGCTGCAAGTTTTCTCCTATAGTGAACCTGAACTTTAAATTTTCTCCTATAGTGAACCTGAACTTCAAATTTTCTCCTATAGTGAACCTGAACCTGAACTTCAAATTTTTTCCTATAGTGAACCTGAACTTCAAATTTTCTCCTGTAGTGAACCTGAACTCTCAAATTTTCTCCTGTAGTGAACACAAACTTCAAATTTTCTCCTATATTAAACTGAACTTAAGTATACATCTAACCTGTAGCAGAGCAATATTTGGCTCTGGCTCGGCGCTTCTAAGAGTACTCAGAGATACAGGGTGAGAGAGAGAAAATGGCAAAATAGAAAAACTTTAGCCAGGGGTGTATAGGGGGATATGTATACACCCTTGCACACAAAAAATAAACGGAACTCCAAGAAACATTGAAGGCCTGAATTAATCTTTTAACGCTGTATTAACCTGGAGAATGGAGTTTTTTTTTACCTAGCTGGATCCAGATTTTGCTACTGGCAGCTTTAACACCTTAATAACAAGCCTGGGTATCTGTTATTAATTATCCGAACTTATTGGATAGATGTTAATTCTTGAATTGGTTCTATGTGTAAGCATCAAGAGAGCTCAGAACAGTCAGGTTTGTTATACAACTCTCCAGTTTCTAGTGGCTGAACAGAACCCTGTGTGGAATAACATGGCAGTACACCCTACCTGGAAAAAAAGTTTGCTGTAGACGAGGTCGTATTCTGAAGCACTGTGTCGGAGATGAACTTACAAGAATCAAGATTTTTGTCGAAATTATCCACTCCTTTCCTAACCTTTCTTATCCCAATTGTCTTTATAAAGGCGGAACTCTGACACAATGAATATCCTCAGTACTTTCAAACCCCGCTTGGTGCAGTGACTTTTTTTTAACCTACAAGAATATTGGGGAAATTGAGTTTAAAGCTACAGCTGCTGAGTCAAACATTCCATATATCAGAAAACAATATTGAAAACTGCAAATACATATATCTACTCCTCACAAACAGTTACTTTCTATTATACTTAATTTGATATTTCTGGCGCCAAGATATCAAATTAAATAATAGTATGAATCAGAAATATGTGTCAAATACATTTTTCCAGCTTGTCTACAAGAGATTAGAATGCGTAGATCTAAAAAAGATGTATGATAAGATAAAAGAAGATACAACGATCAGAGAAAAAATTCACTGCTCTTTTCAAACTTTTAAATTAAAATAAATTGTTGGTACCCTAAACTTCAAATTTTCTCCAATAGTAAACATGAACTTTAAGTATACCTTAACTCCAACAATTCTCCAATCAAAGAGTTGAAATCCAATTGTAAACCTAAACTTTAAGTTTTCTCTTATTGTAAACTTGAACTACAAATGTTCTCCAATTATAAACCTAAACTTAAAGTTTTCTCTTATTGTAAGCTTGAACTACAAATGTTCTCCAATTATAAACCTAAACTTCAAGTTTTCTCTTATTGTAAACTTGAACTACAAATGTTCTCCAATTATAAACCTAAACTTCAAGTTTTCTCTTATTGTAAACTTGAACTACAAATCTTCTCCAATTATAAACCTAAACTTCAAGTTTTCTCTTATTGTAAGCTTAAACTACAAATGTTCTCCAATTATAAACCTAAACTTCAAGTTTTCTCTTATTGTAAGCTTGAACTACAAATGTTCTCCAATTATAAACCTAAACTTCAAGTCTTCTCTTATTGTAAACTTAAACTACAAATGTTCTCTAATTATAAACCTAAACTTCAAGTCTTCTCTTATTGTAAACTTGAACTACAAATGTTCTCAAGTAGTAAACCTAAACTTCAAATGTTCTTAAAAAAACTGAACTCCAACGTTTCCATATTCCTTACCTTAACATCATAAGCTCCAGATCCGAAGCACTCTAGAGCTCTGTCCCAAATACAAAGCTTACTGTTGGGAATATCTGAGTCCAGTGGTCTGATATCATAGGTTCCTAAAAGGAATACAATAGGTTTTGGATTCATCCAGTACTATGAATATGGAATAATAAATCCATAAAGTTTTTAAAGATACACATTTTGTTTTAATGTTTTATTCAACGTAGTCAACCAAGTCCCCACCTGTGATAAGTCTACCAAGAGGGTCTACAAAGGCCGAAGATTGAACATGAAAATCTGGGCGCAAAACCGTAATAGCTCTCATTGCTCTGTACTCTTCTATCGTTACTATCCTGAAAACATTAAACTATAAACAACAATTATTCCAACAAGTCGAAAAACTGATTCGACAGATTAAAGGTAAGATAAGCGTAAATATATAAGTGGTAATGCACGCAAAGACGGTTTCTCTGCAAATGTGAAGCTTGTGCATTTCTACTACAGGACAGCAAATAGGAATTATCAGATATATACACTTTTAAAACAATCCCTTTAAGGTCAGATCCCGACAGGATGAGGACATAAAAAGAAGTTTTTGCACATAAAATAAAACACTAAATAACGAATTTTTATAAAGAAATATTGGCTTACTTTGTCACCTCCTGGGTAGCATTAAACTCTCCAAATATAACAGAGTTTCCCATTCCCATCAATACTTTACTAGGATACACATCTATCTCCATCTCTACTATCTGGTCATACTCATCATACACAACCTGGAGATAAAGATATACTCATCATACACAACCTGGATATAGAGATATACTTATTATACACAACCTAGATAAAGAAATATACTTATTATACACAACCTAGATAAAGAGATATAATCCTCAAACACAACCTGGATATAGAGATATACTTATCATACACAACCTGGATATAAAGATATATTAATGCACAACCTAGATAAAGAGATAATCATCAAACACAACCTGATTATAGAGATATGCTTATCATACACAACCTAGATATAGAGATATATTCATTATACACAACCTGGATAAAAAGATATTTTCATCAAACACAACCTGGATATAGAGATATACTTATTATACACAACCTGGATTTAGAGATATACTCATCATACACAACCTGGATATAGAGATATATATTCACTTACAAAACCTGGATATGAAGATATATTCATCAAACACAACCTAGATAAAGAGATATAATCATCAAACACAACCTGGATATAGAAATATACTTATTATACACAACCTGAATATAGAAATATACTTATCATACACAACCTGCATATAGAGATACACACATCAAACACAACCTAGATATAAAGATATATTCATCATACACAATTCCTAGATATAGAGATGTATTCATCATACACAACCTAGATATAGAGATATATTCATCATACACAACATAGATATAGAGATATATTCATTATACACAACCTAGATAGATATGGATATATTCATCATACACAACCTGGATATAGAGATATTTATCATAAATAACCTAGATATAGAGATATATTCATCATACACAACCTAGATATAGAGATATATTCATCATACAAAACGTGAGCATTGCTATACTTGCCATAGCATAAGAACTTTAGCATTAAGCTACTAAGAAAAATTTACTCAAAACATCGATGAGAATAACTTTTTTGAGATTAGATATTAAAAATCTGAATTGTACAATAATTCAAGTTAGTTTAATACACTTGTTAAAAAAAATATGGAGTTTTTAAACGGTTTAACCATTCAAAAGTTAAAGCCTCTACACCAGTTACTTTTTAATCTTATTAAAAAAGCTGCCGTAGATGGATAATTGAATCTTCAATGCAGGTTTTATTTTATCATATGTTTAAGCTTGTTTATATCCATGTATAAATTTGGCTTGTCTGTTTGTTTATTTGTCTGTCTGTTTGTATCCAATAAACGTCAAAACTGCTGAACCGATCGGGCCCAAATTTTGTGTGGGACCTCACGTGACCCCAGGGAAGGTTTATGAATGATCAAAATTTTAAAAATTTGTGTTTAAAAGTTTTTTATTTTTGTAAAATTTGAAAATGCGCGAAAAAATATGAAATCCGCAAACTTTTTTTGTTTTTGTTTTATACTGTACAAAGAGAAGATGTTCAGAGATAAAGCAACAATTAAAAGTTGAAATAGAAGATGGGCGCGAAGCGCCCCAAAAACCTATTATATATATATCTATATATAAATTTGGCTTGTCTGTTTTTTGTCTGTCTGTTTGTATCCAATAAACATTAAAACGGCTGACCACAGGGAAGGTTTATGAATGATAAAAATTAAAAAAAAATGTGTTTTAAAGGTTTTTAATTTTGTAAAATTAATTTAAATTNAAAATTTTTTTTTCAAATTCCACTAACACATTTGCCCCCATTGCCCCCAATTTGAAAAAAATGCCCCCAATTTTTAAAAAAAATGCCCCCAATTTTTTTTTAAATTATCATATAAAAAAAATTTGCCCCCAATTAAAGAATTTGCCCCCATTTCTTTCAAATTTGTCAATCCCAAATGGGATTGAAAAGGGAATTATATTGACCCCTGTAACCCATACATTAAAAGAAAGTTGTTTGTACATTACAAACAAAGTCAATTTATTCAATTTTGTACCAGTCTAGATTCCATATTATTGTTTATAAGTTGCATTTTTACACCTTTTTAAGGTATTGGATGATAAGATTAATGTACAAATGTTTAGAATCTCGTATAATATGTTTTATAAATTCAGTTTTACATGTTTTATTCTAAATCCTAAAATCCTGAATATTCTGGAGAATAATAAAACTTTCTATTTATATTTTTATGCAAGAACAAGATAATTGAATTGTTCGAGGATTTCATGAGTAATTTCGTAGATTTTAAAAATATTTTTAGAACTTACAAATAGAGAATCAGAATAACAGATGATCAATTACAAAACTATGAGACTGTTATTAAGACTAGAATATAATCCAGCTCTGAAGAAAAAATTCTGAGAATGATTGAATTAAGATGTTCAATATCTACATATACTTTCTAGCTAAGAAATTACACCAAAAACCACCATAAACTTGTTTGCAAAAAAATATTATGTAGTTTCTTGGAGGAATATGTAAACAAACTTAGAGCAGCTCTGCTTTGTTTAAATTCTTCTTAGAAACTGTAGTACAATGTTTTGTATTTTCCTACTACTGGTTTATTTGATACTATTGCTCGGGAACCAGCTTTGATTGGAGATCTAAACAGTTTTCGAACCAGTTGCAAGATATGTGAACATATCCGTTTTTCTTTCCAAATCAAAAGTTGAGGCAAATCGGTCAAGGGTTTCCTGAGTCCGTAAAATCAATTAAATAAGGAAACAAACGCAAGAGATACTACTTTATAATTATACTAGCTTGGGAACCCGGCGCTGCCCAGGTTACACATATAGTTACTCCCGTCGTTTACTCGCACAATTGGTCGATTTTACCAGGAAACTAAATTTTAATTATAAAATTCATTCAACTAAGAATCTCAATCTCAAACCAAGCTAAGAACAATCCCTTGGCTCTCCCGAGTTCCCCAATCAAAATTTGCGGCAAATCGTCACGTGGTTCCTGAGCTATGATCGGACAAACAAACAGACAGACAAACAGAGATTACAACTTTTTACTTTATATATATATATAGATATACCTCATCATGTAAGACTGGAACTATAAAGGCATATTCCGACTCTGAAACTAGCCACGGATGACTTAAGAACAAGAACTCCCTAGGGATTCTCAGCTCTCGGATATCAAACAGTTCATCCTGAATAATAATTGGTAACATTTCATCATTAATAAAATGATAAAATAAAAAGATGAAATTGGAGAGGATGAAAATCACCGAAAAATAATTATAATATCCGCAAATCAGAAGTGTCGAATTTTGGAACCAGAGAAGTCCTACTCGTCTTCCTAGACTTTAATGCACTCGTTATCATTATGTATTTATATCTAGAAGCAATAAATGTACTGCTAAAAAGTGAATTAATTAATTATTATTAGAATTAATTAAGATAAAGAAGTATTTTAACTAGTACCGAGTTCTACTTTCTGTAAAGAAATGCACACATCTACCATACCTGGTTCAACCACTTTCTACTACTCACGAAATCCGACGTAGATTAAAAATATTTTAGGAAATTTAACATTTTTCTGCATATACTTGTCTCAAAAGGCTTGTTTTAAGTATTCATTTTATGTTTTAATTAACTTAATAAGCAATGCAATTATTTCTACTGCTGTGAATAGATGATTTAAAATACTTTAAAGTAAATAACCTATAAAAGCTGAAAGGAAATGGCTGGAATGAATATTACGGTTGTTAAACTATTTCAACCATTTTGTTTTAAAGCGTTAAACAATATTAATAATTTTGAGTCAGTGTTATTTTTACCTGTACATGAGAAGTGGTTGCTTCCGCAGGAGTCACCGTAGTTTCTTCAGCAAAAGAATCTGCAGTAGTAATATCTCTAGAAGAAGCATCTGTAGTGGTTTCTCCAACAGAAGAAACTGAAGAATCTGCATCTCTTGCAAACAGATCATCATCACTATCTTCTGTAAGTAATCCAGGATTACCAGTGTTATCTTCAGCAGAATCTTCTGTGGTAGCTGTTTCAGGAGCTACAGTTGAACCAACGGATGTTACAATAACTTCCTAAATCAACAAATAATAGTTTGATAAAAAATCATTTGGAATTCAGGCGCGCAACTAGGGGGGGACCCCCCCCTAAAAATTTTTAGGGGGGGGGGCCAAAATTTTTTTCGCACTTCGCGCGAAATATTTCCCCCTAGCCCCCCTCTAACCAAATGTCTAGTTGCGCGCCTGATTTGGATGACAATAAAGTTATTTTTATTTAAAGGCATTGTAGTTGAACTTCGTAGACTAGCTGAACCATTTTTCTTGTGCACCGCGCTTAAGTATAGAATTAAATTTTCATAATTGCCAATAGTTGCTCGAAGCAAAGTGTGAAAATGATCAAAATCATTTTTTGTGTGAGGGGGGGACTGTTAAAGGCTGAAATTGAATATATTTTCTGGGTTGAGACTGATTTTAAAAAAATACTTTACCGTAGTGGTGGGAGAAAATGTCGTCGTTACAGGAGCAATTTCTTCAAATCTAGAATTTAAAAATCTTTTTTACCATTTAAAGAAAATTTAAAAAATTAACATTTAAAGCATTTTTTTTTTAATTTTTGCAAAAATAAACGAATAAAATTGGTTTAAATCTTTTTTTATAATTTGAAAAATGAAACTTTTTGTGAATTTTTATTTTTTCCCCAGATTACCTGATAAACTTCATTCCCCATAGATCTGCAATATACAGACAATTCTGTGTAGGTGACCAGTTTATAGCATGTCCACTGTACAAAACGATTATTTTGAAGAACAAACATCAGCTTTATAACTATTGTTCCTCTTTGTTTTTAAATTTTCAAATATAGATTTAGTGGAAACTAACTAACAATAAATAATCATACTTCCGATTACAAAAACTTTTGTCTTTTGTAAAGTTTTGAATTCTCTAAAAAATTAAGCGTTCCTTGAAACGATGTTTTCTACGAGAAGTTCTACAGTTCCACTTTTTGGTTGGTTTTCAGGCAAAATAGTTGTATTTTCCGCAGCTGTTGTAGTTTCCGCAGCTGTTGTAGTTTCATCAGCTGTCGCGGTTTCGTCAGCTGTCATAATTTCATCATTTTCCGTAGTTTCGTCAGCTTCCGTAGTTTCGTCAGCTGATTCTGTTTCTGTATCTTCTGTTGTTTCATCACCTATTCTCTCTAGAGGAGCAAGGTTGGCATCTGAACAAAAAAATATCGCTTATTATTTATTATTATCGCTTATTTTGCAATAAAAATTAAATGATTTTTATTTTTATTTAACCTTTTTCCTGTTGCTCATTGATCAATGAATCTTTGTTGGTTTCTGCTTGAGATAACAGCTCTGCTATGTTCTTTCTATGAGATCAAACAAATACATTCATATAATATATATACATTAATATAATATAAATACATTATATCATATAGGGTAAACAAATACATTTATATAATATATACACAATATATTATATAGGGTAAACAAATACATTAATATAATATATACACAATATATTATATAGGGTAAACAAATACATTAATATAATATATATATATATATTGGNAAATGTTATATTGAAATGTTATATTGAAATGTTATATTGAAATGTTATATTGAAATGTTATATTGAAATGTTATATTGAAATGTTATATTGAAATGTTATATTGAAATGTTATATTGAAATGTTATATTGAAATGTTATATTGAAATGTTATATTGAAATGTTATATTGAAATGTTATATTGAAATGTTATATTGAAATGTTATATTGAAATGTTATATTGAAATGTTATATTGAAATGTTATATTGAAATGTTATATTGAAATGTTATATTGAAATGTTATATTGAAATGTTATATTGAAATGTTATATTGAAATGTTATATTGAAATGTTATATTGAAATGTTATATTGAAATGTTATATTGAAATGTTATATTGAAATGTTATATTGAAATGTTATATTGAAATGTTATATTGAAATGTTATATTGAAATGTTATATTGAAATGTTATATTGAAATGTTATATTGAAATGTTATATTGAAATGTTATATTGAAATGTTATATTGAAATGTTATATTGAAATGTTATATTGAAATGTTATATTGAAATGTTATATTGAAATGTTATATTGAAATGTTATATTGAAATGTTATATTGAAATGTTATATTGAAATGTTATATTGAAATGTTATATTGAAATGTTATATTGAAATGTTATATTGAAATGTTATATTGAAATGTTATATTGAAATGTTATATTGAAATGTTATATTGAAATATTATATTAAAATTTTATATTGAAATGTTATACTGAAATGTTATATTGAAATGTTATATTGAAATGTTATATTGAAATGTTATATTGAAATGTTATATATAAGAGGATCTTTGGTACAAAATAATTAAAAAATTAATAAAAGCAAAAACAAATTATTGAAACGATACTATTGAAAAATAAACATAAACTATTTGTTAATTTGCCTGATATAATCTCCAGATATCTCCTTGATATCTCCTTCCTCTCTAACAACGATATCCGTCCAACGATCTCCACTGCTCAATTAAAATAGTCAAATCTTTATACATACTTTGCTTGTCTGGGTGTCTGTCTGTCTGTCAGACTTTCTGTCCGTTTGTATCCAATAAACGTCCTAACGACTGAACAGATTGGGTCCAAACTTTGTGAGGAACCTCGCATAACCCCAGGGAAGATTTAGGGATGCTCAGAAATACTAAAAGTCGTCTCCAAAAAATTTTGATTTTCTTAAAATATTGAAAATTCACGAAAAGAAAATGGTAAATTCGCAAATATTTTTACACTTTAATGAGCTATATCAAATATATAGGCTGAGTGACAAAATGCATGATGTTATTTTAATCTATTTAAAAAGGAATTGAGTCTTTACCATAAACTCAAATTTTATAATCCCTATATCTTTGCATCCTGATAATTTAAATATCTGATATTTCGAACTTTGATTATTTCATTTAACAGAGATTCAAAGTTTCAAATATCTTTAAAATCGTGTAACAAAAGCAGGGATGAAAAAATCTGAGTTTCTGGCAAAGACACAATTACATTGAATGTAAACATCAAAGCACTAGAGTACTAGTTCTAGCTAGAGAACTAACTTTTGACTTTATAAACGGATTTATCTTCCAAAGTTCCAAATCTATAAATGAACATGGGTTCGTGAATACCTGAGAAGAAAGGAAGCGTACTCTACAGGTTTACTCCCGTCCGGAACTAAATCATTTATCTCTAGAATTCTAGCAATATCCTCGGGTGTTAACATATCCTAAAATATACTTTATAATTTCACATACTTTAATTAATACATAGCAATAAACATTGGAATCAAAAATACAATTTTCCGAGATAAATTTATTCATAAAATTGTTCTTCGCGGATTTTTACAACAGCGATAAAGAAGGAAATAAATGTTTTAAGATAGAAACACGATGATATCTCTATCATTTTGCTGAGATCAAGGTTTCAATGGTACCGTTGAAAATCGGACATGCAACTCACTTGAAATTATAAGTACAATCCCTTCAAGACTATTTCATATAAAACAGATTTAAAGATGTTAAAATAAAGATTTAAAGACGTTAAATAAAGATTTAAAGATGTTAAATAAAGATTTAAAGATGTTAAATAAAGATTTTAACAGAAATTTATGTATGCAAAGAAACTAACGAGTAATAGTCGCCTTAATCCTTTCAAATCCGTTGCAACCCAATGTTTACATTTATACAGTATGCACCATCAGTTTACAAAGATATATGGTTGACTTGTAATCCAACCTTATTTAAAATGCTCTCCTGGTCCTTTAGAGTCATAGATAGTGCACCTCCAACTAAAATAAAATCAAATATGTAAAAAAAATGATAAAAATAATAAATCTTTATAATAAAGCTTTTCCTTTATTTATATGTTCGCTATAGCTGGCCAAACGATTGAACCTAAAACATTTTTTAGGGAACCCGGCAATGGGTACCCCGGGGGTGACATAGGCAAAATAATTGTATTATTTTAATTTCACTGGTAACCCCGGGCCACTCTATCCCCGTAATAAATTTGAATTCGAACAGGACCTGCCCAGTAGGGTTTTCACCGGAATTCCGGGTTACGGTTTACGTACGGAAATGATCCGGAAATTTATCCATTTCCATTATGGAAAAGGTTCCGGAAATCCGGAAATCCGGAATTCCGGAACGATTTCCGGAACGATTTTTGTCCGTAAACCGGAAATTTCCGGGACGTTGTTCTGGAATTGCGGAACGTTACAGAATTGTGTTCCGGAAAATTCCGGTTTACGTAACAATTGTTCCGGAATTTTCCGGAAAAAAGTTCTTGAAAACGTTGAATACATCTTAAACTGGAAATTTTACGGTTTATGTAACGTAAACCGAAAAAAAATTTCCGGTTTACGAAATGGAAACTGGAAATTTTACGGTTTACGGGACGTAAACCGGAAAAATTTCCGATTTACGAAATGGAAACTGGAAATTTTACGGTTTCCATTCCGTAAACTGGAAAAATTTACGGTTTACGTAACGTAAACTGGAAAATTTCCGGTTTCCATTTGATCCGGAATTATCCCGGAATTCCGGTTTACGCAACAAATTTCCGGATCATTCCATTTCCAAAATGGAGATTTTTTTCCGGAAAAATGGAAACCCTACTGCCCAGTTTGTACCGGCCTGTCAGATAACAGCGTGTACTGACCCGATCCTATGGTACGGTACGTCGCCCTAACCAGACTACCATACGACAGGGGTCAATTTTCTTGGCATAGTCCCGTGAGAGGGCTAACTATGACAACTCCCATTGCGCGTTCAGACTTTTTACAGTTCCCGGCCTAATCCTAGGCCTATTTGACCGACCCCACTGGCTTATGAGTAACCTGGTAAACGCTGGGCAATTCAGCTAGCTAAAGAATATTTACATAAATATAATCGAATAAGAAAATTAGTTTTTTACTTTTCTTCAATCTTTTATACGTCAAGTGTATTGTGTAGTTTACCTTGTTTTTACTAAATAGAAACTGATTACTAAACACGAACTTTAATTTTCTTATCCTCATATCTTTGTAAACTGATGATATCAATATTGATATTTTAAACGTTTATTACTCAATCTAGCCGAATTCATGGAAAATTCAAGGTCTACCACATTAGGTTTTAAAGATGTAATGATTTGGTTTGTGTGGAGTTCTCATGGTTCCTACACATTTGGGAAAATTCAAATTTGGAAATCCAATTTCAGAGGTTTCAATTGACAAAGTTTTTAACACCTAAACAACTTTAAGGAGTTTTTCTTAACATAAGATTGCATACTTAAAGGGACAGACTACAGCTTTGTAAGCTAGTTGAACTTAGTATGCAGTGTTGTAGACAAATTCTTTAAGATTCATTTGAAACATATAAAACATTTTAAAGATCTGTAAATCCTGAGTTTGAGCGCAAAGTCGACGTTCAAAATAGTACTTTTGGGTAGATACGATTTCAGAATGTTATTTATTTGAATGATTAAATAACGATGACAAAAAATGTAAACAAAATTCTACAGTAAACTTATTAGTTGTTTAGGAGCAGGTTGAGAAAAATAAAAAATTAATCTTATCATCGAAAATAAGCAATCTTGTTCAATCATTAGTTTCTATTTTCTCATTATTCTAGTTTTTCATTATTCACAAAGATTTTCTGCAGATTTTTCTGGAATTTTTATTGAAAAGACGACAATTTAAAGAATTTGTAGAAATATGCGAATAATTTTATAGAAAATAAGAAATTCAATATAATGATGAAAACGAAATAATTGATTCTAGCATTGATTTATTGGCAAATTTCTTTTGAGAAACATGTTCCAAATCATCTAATTAGTTTACTGATAATTTTTACTTTATTTTTCGTCGTCGTTATTTAATGATTTATAAACCCGATTCTAAAAACGTACCCACCAAAGTTCATGATTTTGAACGTCGACTATGCACTCAAACTCAGTAATTATACATGTGGACAAGTTTTATATGTCTCAAATGAATTTGTCCACAACACTGCATACTCAGTTTAACTACCATACATAGCCGGTCTGTCCCTTGAAAGGTAAAAAGAACACATTAGAATAAACTCTTTTTTTTAGGGATTGTACACCACGCTAAACTAGACAGAAATTAAAGGTAATATTTATGTGACACTTCGTACCTCTAGTAGTTTTGATTAAAAGAATAAGTAGAGAAAAATTTATTTATTGAGTCACATATTAGATATCCAAAACACCTTGTTCTTTTTAATAGCTCTACAAGAAGACCTCAGACTCAATTTCATTTCTTGTAAGTTTTTCTACACTTCGCTTCATTAAAAATGTGAAATAGAAAGAAATGTAAACTTAAAATTTCTGAAAAAAATTGCCCCTACCTAACAATCCCAATAAACAGAACTTTTTCATGTTTATCAGCATAAATAATTCTTATTTGATATGGTAACTTCTTCCATAGAAGATAGAGAATAAACTGTAGCTGAAGCCAGGACGCGGAGAAATCTTAATTCTAAGATGAACCAGAGTTTAGAAAACAAATCCGTCCTAAACCAAGGTTTAGGATATAAATAAGAAACACATTTAAAAAATACAAATACGTCTTAGTTATCAGAGATAAATGTCATTTTTTTCCGATCTCTACTAAAATATGATTTATGGGGACCAAGAAACGAATTAGATGCAAGGTTTAGGATATAAATAAGAAACACATTAAAAAAATACAAATAAGTCTTAGTTATCAGAGATAAATGTCATTTTTTCCGATCTCTACTAAAATATGATTTATGGGGACCAAGAAACAAATCAGATGCAGGGATGGGTTCAGTGAGAGTTCTCCTCCACAGGGGATCCTTGAACAGGTTTAGTTTCTCCAGGTCCCACTTAGAGTAGGAGGAGGAGTAAACGGTAAAAAGAAATTGAACCTGAGGATAAATAGTATTGAGTAAAATTAAACTAAATTGATTAAAGACAGGTAAAAATGTGCCCTTATTTATTTGAGAATGGAAATTTAAAGAAAGGGTTATTTGTAATGACATTAAAACAACATATTGTACACGTTTGTGTAATTTTATCCTCAATACAAAACTTTATCATCTTGGAGTTTATGCATTGCATATTTGCACTTGTTGATGTTTCTGGATGATCAAGATCGTGATCAAGAAAGTTTGTTTAGTGTTTATAGTCATGATCAAGAAAGTTGACATTGGTTTCATGATCAAAATTTTTGACAAGGGATTTATGATCAAGATTATTGACAAGGGATTTATGATCAAGATTATTGACAAGGGTTTTATGATCAAGATTATTGACAAGGGTTTCATGATCAAGAATGTTGACAATGGTTCCATGATCAAGATTATTGACAAGGGTTTCATGATCAAGATTATTGACAAGGGATTTATGATCAAGATTGTTGACAATGGTTTCATGATCAAGATTATTGACGAGGGATTTATGATCAAGAATGTTGACAATGGTTTTATGATCAAGATTATTGACAAGGGATTTATGATCAAGATTATTGACAAGGGATTTATGATCAAGAATTTTGACAACGAATTCAAGCTCAAGATTATTGACAAGGGTTTTATGATCAAGATTATTGACATGGGTTTCATGATCAAGAATGTTGAAAAAGGTTTTATGATCAAGAATGTTCAAAAATGTTTTATGATCAATTTACATCGACAAATCCTGAATTTATTGATTCTAAACGCTTGACCACATTCCTTATCATGAAACCCAAGCAGACTTTCATGATCATGAAACCCGGCTATAGATATAAGTAGTTGAGTCGGCGGTTTTTAGTTCAGAAAACAGACATGACGCTAAATGTCGTCTTTTCAAGATTGGGGGGTTTTCTACCCTACATACATCTAAATCTAAAAAGATGAAATATAGGGTCCTATCTGCCATTGTTACTTAATCTATGGGCATCATGATCAACTGCTACATTCCAGAATTTCATGATTACGATTTTTCATTCATCATACAGTTAATAATCCATACCTCGAAAGAATTCATCAAATGTCGTATTCTTTACTTTCTGATAATGGAATGTTGCATATATTTAGTTTTTTAATCAAATGATTATACGGAGCTCTTTAAAACTGTCTCCGCATATTTCTGGCTATTTATTTATTTTCACAAATACTGAGATTTACGTAAAATAGTATAAAACCCATTGAAAAATTGCCCGAACGACATTTGATAAATTCTTTCGATGTATCGTTCATTTAGGGTTTAACTGTACAAAACTATACATACTCATTGGATTTTAATGTAAACCTACAACTAGTGAAATGCGATAAAAATTTTATATGTTAAATCTTAAAAATAAAATAAAAAATTAGACTTAATGCATTCGAAGTTGAATATTTTTTGTGTAAATCTTAATTTGAAAATTTTTCTGTTTAAATTTGTGTATTTTCAAATATTACAAATGTCGATATTGTTTTTTCAGGCAACATTTTTATCAATTTAACCATTTATAAACCTGGAACCTTCCCTCCCTGGGACTCTGTGAGTGGCAACAAAAAAACTGGGGCCCGATCGGTTTAGCCTATTTAAGGTTAATGGGATACAATCAAATAGACAGGCACAGTATATATATACTGAATAGATGATAATAAAGAACAATTCATGAAAAGTCGTCTCTATTATAACTCATATTTGGATTGTGACCCTATCTCATTATTAAAAGTTTCGATTACAAATGATCATGATTTTCACTAGGATTTAATGATCAATGTTATTTATTCATAATTTTAAACTCAATAGTTGGTCTAGGGTTTATAAAATTATTCAAAATTATTCGTTTTCGAAGACGACATTTAATTTCGGGACTTATTGACGATCTGTCAAACAAAACACCTTCTTTAAATACTTATCATATCTTCCCACCGACCTGCCTTAACGACTGCCTTAACGACTGCTATATACAGGATAACCCCAAAAGAGTGTGGAATTTTGGTCTGAAATATTGGAATGTAATTTCTTAAAATGGATATTTTTACGAAAAGGATTTAATTAATACTTAAGAAATTTAGAAATTTTTCATTTTGTTTTGATAGATTAATATCTGAACAAACTCTATATATAAATGTACAACCATGGCAAATTATGTTTTGTAAATCTTAAGACTGGATCAATAGTAATAATAACTGTATCCACAAACTAACAAAGCTCTCAACGCCAAGGATCAAACATGTATCCGGATATCAGTAGAGACACAAGGTGTCCCACGAAACATGACAGTTGGGGAATTGTTTAAAATGTTGTCTTCCATAAACTGTTTAGATTTTTAGATGATACCAAAAGAATAGTAAAAATATTATATGGCAGTCATATTATGATATAATTGATTTCAAAGTAAAATATATTCGAGTAAAAGATTTTTTAGCGAAATGGTCTGCGAAAAGTGTAATACAGTATTTGGAAGAAGACATTCAAAACTATTATGTTTCGTGGGTTACCCTGTAGCTAAAATTGTGGGATCAAGAACCTATCTCTCAAATGGAAAAACTGCCACATTGATATCGAGATTAAGTGCTAATTGTAGATTAGCACAATCGCACACAAAAGTTTCCTGCTTTGATCTCATAAACAGATATATAATAAAAACGTCATTTCACACTAATGAAAAGGCAGTAAAAAGAAGTAACAGATTCAGAAAATAAAAAAATATTTTTAGACAATTCTGAAAGAGGATAAAACAAATCATGATATTTTTTTTTATTCATTAAGTTGAAACAATGCAGCAAGAAAATATGCTCTAATAAGCATTGTAAAATAAATGATTGTTGTAATATAGTATTCTATACAGCTGTTAGTTCACAGTTAACATTGTGTTTAATATGTCGTCTTTATCTCCTAAAATCACAAGAATATTCGTAGTTTTGGTTTGCTTTGCTAATCATCATTTTTCCTTGGAATATCTAGGAAAATCTGGAATGTTGTGGATTTTCATGACATCGTTTTCAGATATGGACTAAAGGTCTGCTTGTCTAGTGTTGGCGTGCTCTTTTTTCCTCTCAAGGATCCCCAGAGCTTAGATGGAGTGCTTATAGGAGGAGTACCAGACCCCCAGGGTTTAGAGGATCCACTAGTAGAGGAACCAGACCCCCAGGGTTTAGAGGATCCACTAGTAGAGGAATTAGAACTCCATAGTTTAGAAGATAAAGGAGAACTACTCAACCGGGTTTGTATATCATCGCTAGGACGGGTTGGTTGTTCTGACGTACTACTGATATACCCTGAGTTTACTTCAGTACTCCGAGCATACCCTGAATTATCAATACTCCAGTAATCTCCAACCTCTCCTTCTCTCCAGTTTCTGTATGTATTTGTATACCGTGTCTCCTCGGGGGAAGAATCTCCTAAAAATAAATAGACTCTCAACAAAATTTCCAAAGAAACAGAATTTAATTCTTTTTACAAAAGAAGTTTTTCACATTAAGAAGTTGGATATTTCAAAAATATTTTCACATTAAGAAAGTGGATATTTCAAAAATATTTTCACATTAAGAAAATGATAATTCAAAAATATTTTCAAATAATCTTAAATAATCAAATGCTGAAATTAAATCTATTTAATAAAAAAATCTTATATTAGAAAAATATCAATAAAGGAAATGATCTTAAAGGATATAAACTTGAATTAATAAAACTTTTATTAACTTCAAAGCTCTAAAATCTCTAACCAACAAAGAGTAAATAAAATATTATAAAAAAGGAAAAATGTAGTTCTCTTGAAGTATTTGAGTTTAATATTGTTTGATTCAAGAATGATTCAAGAATGAGAAACTATTATTTTCCTGAACTCTTGCATTTCACAGAACCAACGCAGCAAACCTAAAATGTAAAAATTTATTAAATTTTTTGCAAACTTTAAAGAAAAATAAAAAAGTTTTATTAGATTAAATTATCGAACTGATAATTTCCATTTCCGCTCTTATTCTATTTCCATTCCCTCTCCCGTCCTCTTCTTTAGTTATATTCCAATCCCATCATATTTTCAAACCCGCCATCTTCCAACCCTACCATCTTTCTATTCCTACCATCTTTCCTACCCTACCATCTTTCCATCTTTCCAACCCTGCCATCTTTTCTAACCTACAACCATTCCAACCCTACCATCTTTCCTTCCCTACCATTTTCCAACCCTACCGTCCTTCCATCTCTTCTACCCTACCATCTTTCCTACCCTTCCATCTTTCCTACCCTGTCATCTTTCCTACTCTGTCATCTTTCCTACCCTACCACCTTTCTTTTCCTACCATCTTTCCAACCCTACCATCTTTCTTTTCCTACCATCTTTCCAACCCTACCATCTTTCCAACCCTACCATCTTTCCAACCCTACCATTTTTCTTTTCCTACCATCTTTCCAACCCTACCATCTTTCCAACTCTACCATCTTTCTTTTCCTACCATCTTTCCTACCCTACCATCTTTCCTACCCTACCATCTTTCCTACCCTACCATCTTTCCAACCCTACCATCTTTCCAACCCTACCATCTTTCCAACCCTACCATTTTTCCTACCCTACCATCTTTCTTTTCCTACCATCTTTCCTACCCTACCATCTTTCTTTTCCTACCATCATTCCTATCCTACCACCTTTCCTACCCTACCATCTTTCCTACCCTACCATCTTTCTTTTCCTACCATCTTTCCAACCCTACCATCTTTCTTACCCTACCATCTTTCTTTTCCTACCATTTTTCCAACCCTACCATCTTTCTTTTCCTACCATTTTTCCAACCCTACCATCTTTCCAAACCTACCATCTTTCCAACCCTACCATCTTTCTTTTCCTACCATCTTTCCAACCCTACCATCTTTCCTACCCTACCATCTTTCTTTTCCTACCATCTTTCCTACCCTACCATCTTTCTTTTCCTACCATCTTTCCTATCCTACCATCTTTCCAATCCTACCATCTTTCCTATCCTACCATCTTTCCTACTCTACCATCTTTCCTACCCTACCATCTTTCCAACCCTACCATCTTTCCAACCCTACCATCTTTCCAACCCTACCATCTATCCAACCCTACCATCTTTCCTATCCTACCATCTTTCTTTTCCTACCATCTTTCCTACCCTACCATCTTTCTTTTCCTGCCATCTTTCCTATCCTACCATCTTTCCAACCCTACCATCTTTCCTATCCTACCATCTTTCCTACCCTACCATCTTTCCTACCCTACCATCTTTCCAACCCTACCATCTTTCCTACCCTACCATCTTTCCAACCCTCCATCTTTTCTACCCTACCATCTTTCCAACCCTACCATCTTTCCTACCCTACCATCTTTCCTACCATACCATCTTTCCTACCATACCATCTTTCCTACCATACCATCTTTCCTATCCTACCATCTTTCCAACCCTACCATCTTTCCTATTTTACCATCTTTCCTACCCTACCATCTTTCTTTTCCTACCATTTTTCCAACCCTACCATCTTTCCAACCCTACCATCTTTCCAACCCTACCATCTTTCCTACCCTACAATAATTTCAACCCTACCATTTTTCCTACCCAACCATCTTTCCTACCCTACCATCTTTCCAACCCTACCATCTTTTCTACCCTACCATCTGTCCAACCCTACCATCTTTCCTACCCTACCATCTTTCCTACCATACCATTTTTCCTACCATACCATCTTTCCTACCATACCATCTTTCTTATCCTACCATCTTTCCAACCCTACCATCTTTCCTATCCTACCATCTTTCCTACCCTACCATCTTTCTTTTCCTACCATTTTTCCAACCCTACCATCTTTCCAACCCTACCATCTTTCCAACCCTACCATCTTTCCTACCCTACCATCTTTCTTTTCCTACCATTTTTCCAACCCTACCATCTTTCCTACCCTACCATCTTTCCTACCCTACAATAGTTTCAACCCTACCATCTTTCCTACCCTACCATCTTTCTTTTCCTACCATTTTTCCAACCCTACCATCTTTTCAACCTTAACATCTTTCCTACCCTACAATAATTTCAACCCGACCATTTTTCCTACTCTACCATCTTTCCTACCCTATTATCTTTCCAACCCTACCATCTTTCCTACCCTACAATAATTTTAACCCTACCATCTTTCCTACCCTACCATCTTTCCAACCCTACCATCATTCCTACCCTACAATAATTTCAACTCTACTATTTTTCCTACCCTACCATCTTTTCAACCCTACCATCTTTCCTACCCTACAATAATTTCAACCCTACCATTTTTCCAACCCTACCATCTTTCCTACCCTTCAATAATTTCAACCCTACCATTTTTCCTACCCTACCATCTTTCCAACCCTACTACCATCTTTCCAACCCAACCATCTTACCTACCCTACCATATTTTCTAACCTACCATCTTTCTTACCCTACCATATTTCCTAATCTACCATCTTTCCTACCCTACCATCTTTCCTACCCTACAATCTTGCCTACCCTGCCATCTTACCTACCCTACAAACTTGCCTACCCTGCCATCTTTCCTACCCTGCCATCTTTCCTACCCTACAATCTTTCCTACCCTACAAACTTGCCTACCCTACCGCATCTTTAAAGTTATTCTTGTCTCTTATTTAAGGTCTTAACAATGATATAGGTAATTATAGCGTGCCTTAATAGGAAAACTTTTTATAAATCCTAATAAAGAGATAAGAAAAGTAATACACAGCGTAGGATTGGAATGTAAACCACCATTAGTAGGTTGTCTTATATACATATATTCAGTTCCACCCCATACATATATTCACAGGAAAAACTGAATCCTTTTTTCAAATCTTCCAAATCACTGGGAGTATCCTTACCTGAGACTGATTAGGACTAGAACCAAGTGCTCTAGGTACACCTACTCCACTGGAGAATCCTTTTCTCTGGCATGGACTTGAACTAGATGATCTGGGTTGTCTAAAATCAAGATTGTTCGTTCGACCTGGCTTCTTCACAGCAGAGTACAGAGGTTCAGGGGGGTTTGAGGATGGAGAAGGAGGAGGGAGGAAGGTTCCACGAAGAGGAGATGGAGAAGGTGGTGGGAGTCTAGAAACCACCTGGAGATTGGTCAATATATTTCAAACCTCAATACAAAGTAACTAAGTGTAAAATTTCGTGTAAAATTACTTTAAACAAAATATATAATTTTATCCACAATATCTGATTTAACGATGTTCTTGGGTCAGTCTTACACATTTTTTTTTCGCCCCTCCACCCCCCCCCCCCCCCCTCTTTCTCACTAAACCCCCTACTTAAAACCATACCCTATCCCCTGTTTTATAGTTTACTGGTGACTATAACCATGTATTTGTTCACCAGCTTGTCACATGTTGTTCAGAAGAAGAGTCCTGAGCAGGTAACTTAATACAGTGTGTTGATATGAAACCAAGGATCAGAAACCTGGTTTAAGGAATTGGATAAGGCTTTTCTTCCTATTTACATTTACATTTATAATTTTTATTTTAGATTGTAATGTTTTGAAATTATAAGTTATATATAGTGAAGGCAATAATATAATTGTGGAATATAAAGACGACTGGTTTTAAAAACCACAATTAACATGAAACACAGCAATTGTGCAGTGTACACAGACCCAGTTCGTTTTAAAAGTTGATTTTTGGGCTACTGGTGAAAACTTTTGGCTTTATTTCAATAACAAATACACATAAGATTTTTTAAATGTAGTTTTCCTATTCAACAATTGTATTGGTTTCCCTGTACTCAAAAAGGCACATTGGCAGTTTCGTTTAACGTATACTTTTTAAGTTACTGTCTCTGGGATATACTTTGTTAAGTTCCCGTCTCTGGGATATAAAACTAAGTGCAGACAATACTGTATCCATGTCTTCTCATCACAAAACTCAGTCAATGCAAACCTAAACAACTTTAGGACCAATCAAACTTTAAACTTGAATTTACGACCAGGGTCGGGGACATTCAAGTCTCACCATACATTGAAATTCAGAAACAGAGTTAAAAGGATTTACTTTTAAAAGTTCTTTGTGCGATATATGAGATTTCCAAACTGTGCTCTACATAGATTTGGGTATCTATTAATAAAAGTATTCAGGTTTTATATTGAGACTTTGGCAATTTCCTTTTATGTCTTTGCTGCATAAATCTTTATCAAATCTGGGTTGACAAAGGATTCGTTGGTACATTTGTAAATGTGGCAAGCTCCTCTTTTAATCCAGGGTCACTTTAATATTCAGGTTTTAATGGGACTGTAAGTGTAATTTCAAGCGACCCTAGCTCCAGGCAAAAATAGCAATGCCTGATTTACAACGGCATCCTTGAACCTTAATCTGATCAAAACTGTGCAAGATAATGATACCAGATTTTTCTCACTCAAAAAATGTTTATTTCACTTTCACAAAGAAAAGATTCTGCTGACTGTCCCTTTAAATGGGAAAATTATGCTTACTTTCTCAATAAAGGGAAAATTATGCTTACTGTCCCTTTAAATGGAAAAATTATGCTTACCGTCCCTTTAAATGGGAAACGTTTTGGGCACATTTAGGAATTCTGAAAACACAAGTCCAATATGTATCCTTGCACTTGAACAAAAACAAACAATGGTCTATCATAAAAGAATATTAATCAAGTATAACTTCAATGTATCTACTCTATATGTACGGTATAATACGAAGACCATAGAAGATGAGGATGACAAGACAAAGAATCCAAGGTTAGTTAGTTTTAATCTAAACAATATCGGATCCAACCCTTTTAAAGGTTTCAACCCGTATATCAACATATGGTGAATTCTTTGTACATAAATACACCCTACATATATCCGCATGAAACCACTGGAAATACATTACAATTTACATGGAAACTAACGTTCATTTCAAGAAACTAGAGTGAGGGACCGACAAACTCTAACTTTCAAATCCCTATTTCTTTGTGCTCCGGTGTCGTAGACCTTTAATATTTAGACTATAAATTCTGTCAGATAAAAATGTGTAAGTTTGAAATATCAAAAGTTTACACCACAAGGTTGCAAAGATATGGGAATTAGTGATAGAATTTGAGTATGTGGCAAGAACTCGGTCCCTTTTTTCAGTACACATACACCCCATTGAAGGCAAACCGAGTGAAGACACTGGAAAAATCAGCATCTTCTAAATTTTAGATAAAAATACGACGTGGCAAAAAAAATAAAATTCTAGAAACCAAAAAACTTATTTTGTAAATAATTATTTGAATTTATGTTTTAGGAAGGATATTTAACATCCTTCACAATCCCACTCCAAGGATTCATTTATCTAGAAATATTATATTACAGATCTATTTTGCTCTCAACTATTCTTTGAAGAACTTGATAGTTACAGAAAACTAGAGATTTTTAAAAATTTAGCTGCATAACTTTTCATTTTACGAAACTTATGATAGGTGAATGAATGAATGAATGAATGAATAAATGTTAATAATTCCCAGTTGTTGTTTTTCCTACATTACCAATTAGTTTGTCTCCAGAACCCTAAACCTTGTATTATGACTCCAAGAATGCTTTAAACCTGTAAAGTTTAAAAGATTAAGTACGAAGTAAATACAAGTATTGGTGGTCCAAGGTGTTAAACCAGCGGGAACAGATTTAACCAGGACAATTTCAACCCGGAGTTTTATTATTTTCTAGGTTAAAAGAGATATATTGACCGTTCCTGTTCCAATCCTTGCAGGAACCGTGGTGAGATCGGAGACTCCTGGCTGGGAACACAAGAGTTCCCAGGAACTCCGTCGTCGATTAGTTGAATATTATCATCAAAAGATATTCTTCGTCCTGATCCGCTGAACCTGAGTTCATTATGTTTAGAAGATTTTTTCCCAGGATTGGGTAAAGTTCCGTAGGTAGGTTTGAACTTAGGAGAGCTTGGCATCCGGCTCAGATTGGGTTTCGGAGCTATCGGAGGAAGTTTTCTCCGGCCTAGGGTGCTCGTGGTTTCAAACGATAAACATGTTTGGAGTTCAGGTGGGGGAGGAGGAAGAATATCCTCGTCTATACTCAATCTGCTGCTGGTTCTGGGAGGAGGAGGAGGAGGGGTTTCTAAACCAGGAGGAGGAGGAAACTCAGATATCTCATCGTTAGATCGGATAGAGTTCTTGATCTTCGCCTGAATATCTTTGGCCTGTTTCACGTTTGTGTGGAGTTCATCCAGTAGTTGCTGGAGCTCCTCGTAGTTTCTTCCACTGTTTATTCTCTCAGCTGAGTTTGATCTCCGGAGTAAGGTTCCGCCTGCTCCGAGTCTAATGTTTGAATGGTTGGATCCGGAATTAAGATCGCTTCTTTCGAACGAGAAGAGATCAGACGGAGTTCCAGCGCAGGTTGGAGGACGCTTTTTTATTGTTCCTCCGGCAGGATGATCGCTTTCAAACCCCTGCTCAACGCTAGATTTATCACTGAGACTAGACGAAGATTTTGATGTTCTCTTGAGAATTGATGCTCCGGGTAACGGGGTACTGGTTTCATTTACTCTTAAATCAAACCTGGCTAGATCACATGCACTGGAGAGAGGTTCTTCCTTAAAGAACTCAGATCGAATCCCGCTGGACAGAACGGAATCAAAACTTTTATTTTCCGACATCGGAGTCAAGATTGGGCTGTGTAGATTTAGATTTGTTGCACAGCTCTCAGCTTTGCCGGAGTTTGCGAGACAAACTGCGGAGTTCACAGAACCTCGTTTTCCAACCAAAATATCTAGATCTGCGTGCGTGATTTCGTCTACTAGGGTTCGATAGTTTTCATGCAAGCTTTGTCCATTTTTGGCAATTCTAATTCCAGTCACCCATTGGTGGAGCTCTTTTTGCGTGTCTACGCACAAATATCTGATGTATTTTGGATTTTTAGCTTGTATTTGTGGGTGTTTTATGCCAAAACAAAAATCTGTCGGAGCTTTAAATTTTCGTTTCCAGCCAACTCCGTAATATACTTGATTCACGTCAAAAGTGCACAAACATAATAGGTCTTTAGAGTTCTTCTTCCCTTTAGGGGAGTAGTACAGTCCAGATGTTCGAAGTACGAAATAAAATTTCTTCCAAGACTTTTTATTTTCAGCCTTGAGCCAAGCAAACCCTTCAACCTGAGGGGCGCCAACTCCAGCCACAGAGAAGTATTCCTCCACTAGTTCCTGGCGACAGTGCTCTTCCATAGGATCGTTCTTCTCCGAGGACGTATCCCCTAGAAGATAGATTTCAGGTCTCATAAACAGGTCAAACTTCTCCGGGCGTTCAATGAACCACAGAGTGTTCTTGGAGTCAACCTTCCAGAGGAGACAGTTTTCAACCAAGGACTCCTGGTCCTCATACACCCGCTCCATATATAGGTCAGGGACCAGCTCAACTAGGGCCCATTTAGGGTCCAGGGCCACGTGGTTTTTCTCCGCTAACATCCTGGTCACCTGAGCAACGTTCATCTTCTCATCCACCAAGAGACTCTTAGCTGAACCATCACTAGTAAACACCTTGATAAACAACTTCTTCACAGATGCTTCTTTAATCTTCTCAATGGCGATCTTAATCTTCTCTGCCTTTATCCTAGCATCCTCGTCTGCGCTGCTCCCTTCGCTGCTCACCCCACTACTCTTCTTATCAGTGCTGCTACTAGCGGAGCAGCTAGAGAGGACGGATAGGTTGTCACAGAATGCTGAATCTGTATCTGGAGAACAGTTTCTAGGTCCGGTAGAAACTCTGCTCACAAGACTACTTTCCATCCTACTTCAAATACACCATTTTACTTAATTCAGGGTTGGAAGNGTAATATAAAATATTTAATTTCTAATTGTGAAATGTGCTTATAGCTAAAAAAGCAACAACCATTTAAGAAATTGAAGTCTTAAACTTATTTTTTCCTAAATGAAACGAGTGGTTTATGATATCATAAAGGTTTACAATATTACGCTTGAATTTAACTTTTAATAGTTAAAACGTAGATTAAGTATAGTCTAGGCGCGGCTCTATACTTTTACATGATATTCTACCAAAACTATCAATGAACATGCAACTCAGTCTTAATCCATGTCCGCTCATTCAAATGGAAACCGAAAAAGCTTAGTGTTAAATAAAATATGGAGGGGGAGGGGGGGGGGTAATTCTAAAAGGAAACCGGTGGGAGTGGGTTCAGTCCGATTAGATGAAGGGTTAAATTCACTCTATTCAAACATTAGATAGGATTTAAGATAAGCAATGAATGAAAACTCACCTTTTAAATTAATTTTTCAATGCAAAATACTTTGAATACGTTTGAACGGACGGATTTAGCCCCACCCCAGAATTGTATTGTATATGGGGGGANTATTTTCTTAAATCAAAGGTTTAAACTTGAAATAAGAATGATAAATATACTATAACTAAAATAAAGAAGAAAGATCAAATATGAATTATGGTTCTTAAACTCGACAAAATAATTGCCAAAGAAATGGATACTTTTTACTTAATGCTTCATTGCCAAATCTAATTCTGCACATACTTAAAATTATTGTCAAAGTTAAATACAAAAGGAACGAAAACTTGCCTAACACCTAATTTGATAATCCTTACATTTTGTAAACATGTTTGATATTTCAAACAATTAATTCTGATAAATCTTAAATGTTTAAAATATCAAAAGTTTACACGATCTGATTCTAGAGATATTGGGATTATATAATTTGAGTTTGTGGGAAGTAAACAATTCCTATAGGGATCTATCATTCAGGAACCAGATCTAATTAATAGCGAGACTAAGCTGAACCGTACACGAAGTAGTTCAACCACTTATTTTTGCGCCAATTCAAGCTGAGAGGTGGTTGAACAACGTCGACGGAGTTCAACCATTTATTAAAGCTGAGCTGGGAACTTTAGAATTGGATAACCTTAATCCCGACTGCTCTTAATCCGAATATCCAATGTGGAAATTTTTTATTTCTTGCTTTATCCTCTCTTTTTTGGATATTAGTAGAGAAAAATCAAAAACCGGTTTTTCAAAGTTAGAGAGTTCCTCTCGTTTTTGTATATTAATCTAAAATGGCGGGCAAAAGTTCTAATTTCCCGGCTTCTGATACACGACTCTAATTGGTTGAATTTTAAAACTTTTTCAGGATACAAGATTAGGTTAGTCTCGAGATTAAGAAAAAGAGTGAATCATGAATTTATCTCGATATATGCACCATTCTAAAGTTCCCAGCTCAGGTCTAAGAAAGGTTTGCGAAAAGTAATCTACCACTTTAGCCACGATAATTTAACCTTTATAACATTTTAAATGAACCAGAATCTTAGTGAAACAAAAAATCAGAACATAGCAAATAATTCTGAAGTATTAGTTGTTCTTATAGACCATGCCGTCACGCATATTTAATTCTAATTCCAAAAATAATGCGAACAAGTGTAGCATATTTTACTAAACTTTTAGTTAACGTTTTTTGTATTTTAGTTTCATTCGCAGTCCGAAATTCAAGAGATTCAAGATTAAATCGAAAATTTCAGTCTCAAAGAGGTTTAGGTTAAAACCATGAGAAGTTGATCACCCCAAAAATGCTACAAATGAAATCTGCAAAGTAGTCATTCCTATATGCTACATATACATCACCTAAATCAACTCAATTTCAGCTTGGAATTGCACAAAAACTTCGCAACAGATATAGTATGCAATAGCATTTAACAAAAAATTATTACGAATAATAAATAAATAAACCTAGACGAAAATTGGATAAACCCGGTTTTGGATTAAATAAACATAATAAATTTTAAAAAGGATTTTATAGTATTTGCAGTGTGCAATGGGATGTGGGTGTGGAGGGGGGGGGGGAGGGGCATCTGGATGGAAGGTTTGGGGGTATCTGAGAAAGGTTAGGGGACAGGGGTATCTAGGAAAGATTTGGGAGTAACTGAAAAATGTTTGGAGGTTATCTGTAGGAAAGGTTGGTCGGTATCTGGGAAAGTTGTAGGGGGTTTTATCGGGGAAAGGTTTGGGGTATTCTGTAGGACAGGTTGGGGAGTATCTGGGAAAGGTTGGGGGGAAGGGGTATATTTGAAAGGTTAGGGGGTGAAAGAAAAGAGTTTGGGGTTATCCAGTGTGTATCCAGAGGTATCCAGAAAATAAAGTAATTGGGGAAAAAAATGATAATAGAAGATAGAGTAAAGGTTGATCTGAATTCTAACTGTACAGAGGGAAGAAATGATAATAGAAGATAGAGTAAAGGTTGAACTGGGTTCTAACTCTGAAAAAACTCAGTTAACTCCTGGTTTAAGGTTTCGACCCTAAGACCTAAAGGAGAAGGGCAAGCAAGGGTTCAACATTTTTGCATCTTTCAATTTATCTCTGATTGAAAACTGAGATAGAACTCAGACTCGAGGTTAAAAACCATGTTCATATCCATAAAACCCGTCAATGTAAAACAGAAAAAAAACAATTATTTATAAACATATTTTTTTAGCTGTTTACGAACTAGCTGTTCAATTAATTTCAGAATTAAAAGTTTAAAAAAAGAGAGATATTTTAATATTTTGTTAGATAAAGGGCCGCTTTCCTTTTCGTTATCAGTCCCTTTAAACCGAAAATTTTATTTTAAAGTTCTATTGACTTCATCATTATATTAAGTAAATGTTTAGCCTACAGTGCTAACTGCACACATAATTATAAATGATTACTTTTATGGCAAAGTAATTAATAAACCTGGCTGTATTTCAAGACGCGTGTTTGAAAACCAATTATTCTAACTCCAAGTATGTTTTATTGCTTTCTCATTACTCAACCTCAACCCCTGCAGGTAAAAAGAATACACATCAACAAATACAGATAACTATGCGAAAACCAAACAATCCGTGCTTAACTATGCGTTAACGCAAAAACTATGCGCGCACGCACATGTCTGCCGTGTGCAGTGAGCACGCTAGATAAACAAACTCCTCACATTCACATCAATTTATGTGACATCTAATCCAAGAGGAAGAATGAGTGAAAGTTTAAACCCTTGGTTCACTTTAAAGGGATTAGAGACATCATTTCAAATAACTCTTATTGTAAAGTGGCATGTCCGATCCACAGTGGTAACCTTTTAATTCAAAATGAAGAAGAAATCGTTATTTTTCTTTTTTGGAAAAAGTTGAATTTTGATAATTTCATTTTGTCTCTTTGCTATATAATACGCCAGTAAAGGAACTGATTCTTTGTCACAAACTCAAATTTTCTAATACCTACATCTTTATTATCTGATGGTTTAAACCTTTAATATTTCAAACTTAGATTATCTGATTTAACAGAATTCATAGTTTAAAATTTTTATACGATCTAACCACATTGGGTTGCTAAGATATAGGTAATAGAAAATTTTAATTTGTTGCAAAAAAATCTCAATTGAAAAAAATCAGTTTTCAGCAATAAACAATCATATCTTATTATTAATAATAACCGTTATAGGTTTAAAGATCTCAGATAATGAACACACTTTTAGTACAGAACTTGGTTTTTAAAACCGAAACACCGTATTAAGTAAATACACAGAATTGGGTAGAACGTTTTTGTTAGTTGTAATACATGTAAACCTGCAGGGGGGCGGATGGGGGAAAAAGAACTCGCACCCTTTTTGGTCAGATGTAAAATTAGTTTTAAAGTGAATATTTGAAAGGAATTAAAGGAATTAAAGCCATGTTTGGATGGTTTAATACTGGGGTATAGGATAAGCTACTGGATCCCATAAACCTGTCCTAGCTTGAATAGAATATATAAAAGGTTTGTCTTCATAAACTCGTCAAGAAGAACAGTACTATGTATATACTGCATATACGGATGCACTTGGATGTATGCGCATGCATTTAAGCTATGAAGGGTTTTGATGGGTTTATGGAGGGGGGGGGGGGGTGATTTTAAACCATAATATAAAAGTATATTTTTTTATTGGCCTAAAATCCTAACTTTGTGTGGATATTATTGAGCTTGAACGCTTGATCTCGATATCCAATGATTGATCCCTGAATTAAATGAAAAAATTGAAGTTTGAAATATCTAAGGCCTACACCATCAGGTAACAAAGATATTGGAATTATGAAATAAGCGTATAAGGCAAGATTTCAGTAACTTCGCTTAGAATTAAAATCTTCCTTAGTAAATAAAGAATATTTAAAAGTTAAGGGGTTCAAGAATGTAAAACTGTGTTTATGTTCCTGTTAGTGTTTGTGTTTGACTTCTCTACGATCTCCCTGGAAAACTGATTCTCCAGCTCGCTCAGCTCCCCTAGGATCTTATCTAACTCCTCGTCCTGGTTCGGATCCATCTGTATCAGGGATCGTCTGTTCTCCTCCCTTCTCCTCATCTCTATCCTTGATCCGGACTCTCCTCCAACCAAACCCTAAACAACAGATTTAAAATATTGATAGTTTAGATGTTTTAAAGGATTGGACACTAGACACTGGGCACTGAACAGTTTAAAGGATTGGGCACTAGACACTGGGCACTGAACAGTTTAAAGGATTGGACACTAGACACTGGACACTGGACAGTTTAAAGGATTGGACACTAGACACTGGGCACTGAACAGTTTAAAGGATTGGACACTAGACACTGGACACTGGACAGTTTAAAGGATTGGACACTAGACACTGGACACTGAACAGTTTAAAGGATTGGACACTAGACACTGGACACTGGACAGTGTAAAGGATTGGACACTAGACACTGGACACTGGACAGTTTAAAGGATTGGACACTAGACACTGGACACTGGACAGTTTAAAGGATTGGACACTAGACACTGGACACTGGACAGTTTGTCTTCGAATATTAATTTGTTTTGTACATATAAAAATATTTAAACCTACAGAACATTTATGAACTTTTTTTTAGTATTTACACTTTTCGTTACTATTTTTACTTGTCAAATCAGATGCTTAGGGAGGTCTCAACTGCAAAGCTTCTTGTTACTTTTTGAATTTTTAAATGTGTCCAAGTTAATATATTTTAATATATATTTGAACTGCTCAGGGTGTCCAACACCTAATTGTTTATGTTTTAACATTTTGCTAAAAAACTGTCCAAATAGAGCAGATCTATATTTAATTTAAAAAAAACTAGAGGTGCTGGCGAAAATTTGATATTTGAAGAAATTAAGAAATTCTGTATGAGAGAAAGAAAAACATCGAATAATTCATGAAACTTTTTCAAAGTTTTATAAGACAATTAGAGACATGGAGACCCATGGTAAATAATTAATTTTTTCATTTTTTAATCAAATAAGGTTGAAAACAACATGTCTTGGAAAAAACCACATAAAACTAAAGTATATTGGACGTAAGATTAAAATCTTAAATGTTTTCAATTATAACTCTTTTTTTTAAGCTAGATTCTGATAAGAACAAATTAGTGTTTTATTTCTGTTCTGTGACCGGACAATTTTATATATCTAGTGCCTAAACTTTAAACTAGAGGAGCTACGAGGTCCCTAATTCGTTCTAGTAGTCTAACCAATGCCCTTCTGTCTAGTTCACAGTTAAACCATGATTTATTTTAGTATTATCGAAATCGCGAACATTTTTTCGAAATTATATCAAAGAAATTATTTTAACTCCAGCATTTCCTTTGTAATTTCAAACAAAATGTTTCTTCATTCAATATTTCGAACCAAATGTTCGTCACTTCCAAACACTTTCGGTAATTTCGATATTTCGAACAAAATATTCGTCATTTCGAAATACTTTCGGTAAGTTCAATATTTCGAACGAAATCTTCGTTATTTTGAAATATCTTAGGTAAGTTCAGTATTTCGAACGAAATCTTCGTTATTTTGAAAAATTTTAGGTAAGTTCGATATTTCGAACAAAATATTCGTCATATCGAATTACTTTCGATAAGTTCGATATTTTGAACCAAACGGCGTAATATGTAGGATATGGTTAAGACTTTATGTTTTTGTTTTCAATGTTTAGCTGGTAAAGGTTCAAGGAGAGGATGTATTACTGTGTATTTCCTTTTCTACCAATATACAATAGTTCAGGATATTGACTATAACCAAACAGATATATAAATATATATAATAGTTTTTTGTTTGTTTTTTGTTTGTTTGTTTGTATGTCCGATCATAACTCAGCAACCAATTGACTCATTTTTCTCAAAGGAATTGAGTTTTTGCAACAAACTTAAATTTTCTCACCCCTAAATCTTTGCAACCTGATGGTGTAAACCTTTGATATTTCAAACTTAGACTATTTGATCTACCAGAATTAATAGTTTGAAATATTAAAGGTCTAGGAAAACGGGTTGCTAACTTATTAGAATTAGAAAATCTAAGTTTGTGGCAAAAACTCAATTCCTTTTGATTGAGATTCTTGAAGGAACTACGGAAATATTCTTATCTTAGTTTTGAGATTCAAGTTAAGGTTGACTCGGGAAAAATAGCTTAAATCGTAATTTACGACCAAGCTAGGGAAAAACGGCGGGAATGTCTATGAGTACTATGGGCAACGCCGGGTTCTTAAGCTAGAATAATATATAGATTATACATCTACATATTATGCTAGATTATGAATCTATATATAATATCTAGCTAGCTTGAGAACCCGGCGTCCAGAGAATTCATGAAAAGGGAATTTTTACGAGAATCGAAAGCCGGTGTCAGATTAGTTTATGACAACAAATTTAATATTGGTACTGTAAAGAGTCTGTAATACTGGAACTGATTTTAAATACAATTTATTTTGATCATTTAAAGAAACCTTCATTCAGTGTTAACTTATTCTAATTAATCTTTTGAAATCTGAGTTTTAGTTTTGTTAAATTAATAATTTTTATAAAGATTTGATTTAAAACATTTCTTTTACCATCTAACTTTTCTTTTCTAAACCTTTCTGTTTTATTTCTTCTTCTTCCTTCGTTTCCTTTTTTACTTCCTTTTTCCTACATGCGAAATAACCTTTGCTCGAGGTCATTATCAATTTTTGTTATTTGATAGTTCAATGGAGAACCCGTGAATCAGTGGATTAGGAAAAAGTTAAATAAATCCTGGCTACGGGACTGACCTGTCACATTCTCAAACCAATGACCTTGTAGTCCTGTGTAAAATGATTCCTTAGGAGGGAGATGAGATGATTTTGGGGTTTTGGTGAAAGAGGGGGGGAGGGGAGGGGGAGACATTAATATATTTAGAGAAGACGGGAAGGAATATATTTCGAGTGTGGAGGGGGGGGGGGAGGGGCATCTGGATGGAGAAATGAATATTGGGTATAGATATAGAAAAGGGGGGAGGGGGAATGATGATGCAAATTGGATTGTGGAAGGCACGAACCAATCATTAATACGAGTTGAGAAGGGTGTATTGAGAACACATTATACACCTGGAGTCCTGGGATCCTGGGATCCCGGGGTATCTGTCCTTTAAACTTAAAATATCATTTCCTCATGTTCTACAGTTAGAATTCAGGAACAATCTTCTTATTCTTGAAACTATATATAAGCTCTTCCGTTCTCGTTATTCTCCTTCTTCTCCTTTTATTTTTTCTCTCTTGTCAGTTATTTGTTCTTTTCCTTCTTTCCCTTCTGCTAAATGCGGTTTTCTTGTACTTTTCTTCCTATTTCTGTAATATAGTTTTTTTTATTTTCTTAAATTTTACTTTTTTTCGATTCTCCTTTATTGATCCTCTCATTCCGTAAATTCACTTCCTTTTATTTCATTTCCTTTGATTTTTTCATTTCTCTTTCGAATTATCTTGCTTCAATTTTGATCTCGATATTTTCAACTCTAAAATTATCTATTTTTTTTGTTTAGTCTTTTTATCTTGGCATAATACTTCTTATTCTGAAAATGTTAACTTGAAATTATCCAAATATCTGCCTATTTATCTAACTATTTATAAATCTTACCATCTATTAATCTGTTGCAATATATATTTATCTAACTATTTATATATCTTACCATCTATTAATCTGTTGCAATGTATATTTATCTAACTATTTATATATCTTACTATCTATTTATCTGTTGCAATGTATATTTATCTAACTATTTATATATCTTACTATATATTTATCTGTTGCAATGTATATTTATCTAACTATTTATATATCTTACTATCTATCTATCTGTTGCAATGTATATTTATCTAACTATTTATATATCTTTCTATCTATCTATCTTCTATTTTAACCTTCAATATATGTCTCGTTATCTAAGGAACGCTAACCCCGTCAGTTCTGCTGTAATGAAGAGATAAAGATGGCTCGGCACCGCGCGTTCAGGTCTTTTTTATTTCTCTATAGGTTATAACAATATGGTTCCCAATAAACATAAAAGATAATATATAATATATATGTATACATATATATATATATATTAGAATTATTTTCGGAAAAAATTCACCCAAATGAAATATCTTGTTTTCGTTCCTTGTTTCTCCTTTTTAATGAAACCTTAAGTCAAAGGGAATAAAATGGGGTTTCTAGAAACAGTTTCAATTTTTAATGTTGCTCTTCAAGTCGCCTTTTTTCATAATAAAAAATAGTATTTCGCGGATTTTTTCCTGTTTAGGAATTTCCAAAAAAAATAATATTCATATTTTTTCAAGGCAAAATCGTTTATTTATGACCGGCCAAATCCCGTATCTGGGCCGAATGAGGTTTCACAAAAAATGTGGCCAGATCAGTTTTGCCATTTTATCATTTTCTAAATACAAACAAACAGACAAGCAATATATGTATTAACAAGGCTTTTAAAACACTTTGCACTTTCCTCCAAAATGAAACCCTTGTCTTCACTAAAGCCTGGATATAAAGAAACCCCCTGTCTTCACTAAAACCTGGATATAAAGAAACCACCTTTCTTCACAAAAACCTGGATATAATAAAACCCCCTGTCTTCACTAAATCCTTGATATAAAGAAACCACCTTTCTTCACTAAAACCTGGTTATAATAAAACCCCCTGTCTTCACTAAAACCTTGATATAAAGAAACCACCTTTCTTCACTAAAACCTGGTTATAATAAAACCCCCTGTCTTCACTAAAACCTAGATATAAAGAAACCACCTTTCTTCACTAAAACCTGGTTATAATAAAACCCCCTGGATATAAAGAAACCACCTTTCTTCACTAAAACCTGGTTATAATAAAACCCCCTGTCTATACTAAAACCTGGATATAAAGAAACCCCCTGTCTTCACTAAAGCTTGGATATAAAGAAACCACCTTTCTTCACAAAAACCTGGATATAATAAAACCCCCTGTTTTCACTTAAACTGGATATAAAGAAACCCCCTGTCTCAACTAAAGCCTGGATATAATGAGAACCAGGATACAGAGGTTAAACTTTATTCCCGACAAAGGTTACACAATTACTTAACATGGCGGTTTTACTGTCAACAAAAATCATAATTGCCTGAACTAGATCTGGAGAGAGGAAAATAAGTATGCGCACGATTTATTTCAATCCAGAGTTTAAAACTTATTAAATATATTAAATATAGATTACAAGGCGTCGGATAGGACAAGACATAGATAACCTGGATAGGACAAGATAAAGATTACACGGATAGGACAAGACATAGATAACCTGGATAGGACAATATAAAGATTACACGGATAGGACAAGGCATAGATAACCTTGATAGGACAAGATAAGATTACGCGGATAGGACAAGAGATAGATTTCACGGATATGACAAGAGATAGATTTCACGGATATGACAAGAGATAGATTTCACGTATATGACAAGAGATAGATTTCACGGATATGACAAGAAATAGATTTCACGGATAATACTAGATATAGATAACCTGGATAGGACAAGGGAAAGATTACACGGATAGGACAAGAAATAGATAACCTGGATAGCACAAGAGATAGATTACACGGATAGGACAAGAGATAGATTTCACGGATATGACAAGAGATAGATTTCACGGATATGACAAGAGATAGATTTCACGGATATGACAAGAGATAGATTTCACGGATAGGACAAGAGAGAGATTACACGGATAGGACAAGAGATAGATTACACAGATAGGAAAATAGATAGATTACATGGACAGTACAAGATATAGATTACATGGATAGGACTAGATATAGGTTACACGGATAGGACAAGAGATAGATTTCACCGATAGGAAAATAGATAGATTACATTGACAGGACTAGATAAAGATTACATAGATATGACATTAGATAGATTAAATGGATAGAAAAAGAGATATATTTCACGAATAGGACTTATAGATATAGATTACATGGATAGGACAATAGATATATTATACAGATAAGAAAATAGATAGATTACATGGCTAGGACAAGAGATAGATTACATGAAAAGGACAAAAGACAGCTGACAGGGAAAGGACAAGAGATAGATTACATGAATAGGACAAGAGATGGATAATCTTTGATTTATAGTTCTGCAATTATATCCTCATATCGTTCAATATCTACCATGTCCTCTAAACCACAATTGTGACTGTTTAACGTTCAGAGATAAAAATATTTAACTTTAAGGTTTGAATCTAGAAAAAAAGAGAATGATCTCACCCTCTTTAAAGTATCTAGTTCTCCGAGCCATGTTTGAAGGAGATCCTCTTCTTTATCGGAGTCCATCTCACCCTCGTACATCTCGTCAATTCTAGAAATAGTAAAGAATAAGAAATAGATATGAAATATGAAAATTAATATTAAATTCATATATTTTACACTTAATCTCCCTGAGAAATACAATTATAAGGAAATATCATAAAAATATAAAAGAATGTATATTAATTATTTTTTACTTTAGTAATATTTTTATTCTTAGTTAAACGTGTTGTGCGCGTAAGCACACGCATGCAAGTTCGTTTTAACAAGCATTAATTTTAGTGATCTTAAATCTTGGAATTATTTTAAAATAATTTTATTCATCTTCTAAGCTGGTCTGCAGTTGGAACTGAAGTTTAAATACCTAAAAGGAAGTCGCCAATTTGATTTATGGTCTCATAAACAGATTTAAATCTGAACCTCGGTAAAACTTTTTAAATCTTTGAATTACAGATTTGCAGCTCTTGCAATGAATTGTAACTGTTCAATTTGAAAAAAAAACAGGTTTAAAAGTTAAACCTATCAAGATTGAATGCAATGCATGATATTACATATTATGAGTATATCAGATATATAGCTTGATAAGGAAACGAAGTGAAATGACTGATGCAGGTCAAAACCTTAACAGTATGAGTGTTGCACGGGACAAACAAAAGTTACAAGAATGCGTGAAATTTTAAAGTATTGGCCATATCTAATATGTCGTCCAAACATGGATAAATCTTATAAGATTTTGCAAATATGCGCCCCACGCACAGTTTATATTATTCGGAATGGCATCTTTCCGAACATTCGGAGGTATTCAGCAGTTTTTCCAAAAATCATTGGATTTGAAGATTTTTGATGTCTTATTACAATAATATTTTTTTTTTCCTAAAATATAAGTGACATTTTTTTAATGAAAAATGCATTCAGATTAATCACTAAAAGTTCTTCTATCTAGTTTTTGGAATTACACACTTAACTACTCAACGAGCTATTTAATACTTTAATCCAAAGTAAAATATCAACCAAATATTTTCTCGTATATTTTATATCAAATATCATATATTTAGAACATCATCAAATACTAATTTGAGATTAAACATTTATTTTTAAAAATGCTGGAAAATTTTAAACAACATTTAAAAAAAATTGTTTTTTGATTTTTGCGGCAAAAACTAGCTCTTAAATGGGAGGTATCTTCAAATTAAGTAAACAGTTCCGGCCGTCAAAGTAAGAATAGAAAGTATATCAAAATATGTTACGATATATATATATGACTATCTAATACATATATTGTAGAAATATATTTTAAAATACATAAATATACAATATGTACTAGATATAATTATATATCTCTACTCCGAAACTCGTTAAAGTCTTGACGACAAAAAAGGTTTGTTTGGTGCATACCAGCTGATTGATGAATATGTCGATATTAACCAATTAAAAACAATCTCACAGAACGGATCCAGACGTAAAACTGGTTTAAATATACACAGTGTCAGTGTGTCTTAATAAACATACGTTTACAGATGACCTGATCACAACATATTTAATATGCTTGAAATATTGTCAAACAAACTAATCACAAAGAATATGAAAAATATCTTTTTTTGAAAGGGTGATACAAATCAAACTTGGATAAAAGTGCCACTTTTATTTTAAATTGAGACACCCTGTAGTTGACCCAAGCTTGGGGCTTAATATATTTTTAGCAATATAAGATAAGACTAAATAGTCGAGATTATAGCTTCCAACACACATTTCAGGTTATAAAATTAGGGACACATAGTTTTAAAAAACCTTGCAGGAGAGAAAGTGAAAAAGAACTAAAGAATTTTTAATCATATTTTATAACATATTTGAAGCGTACTTGGTAAGGGTGCTTCACGGGAGTTTATTATATTATTCCAACCGTTTCAGAATATTAAAATTAGATGTACTTCATACTACACAGGGTTAGGAGTACACACAATTTAACTAATTAAATCTGGCCCCGCCTTGAATTTATTGTTTTTATACCGAGCTTATGTCGGTCTTTGTGCTGCTTATTGTGGGCGAAATCAAGCAAAAAGAAGAAGGAATTAAAGGGATTCTACGCGTAATTTCATGTGACATTCTAGGCTAAAATGACAATGCCCAAATTACAATGGTACACTTGAAAACTTTATCTGATGAATAATGTGGAAGATATTGTCGTTTTTCTAGACTTAAGCGTATTAAATGATAAAGATTTGAAGGGTACCGTTGTGAATCAGGCATGGTAATATTTGCATCGAGGCCGGGTCACTTAAAATTAAGCTGACAGACCCTTGATTCTGTATTTGCGCTGCTTGTTGTGGGCGAATAAAGCAAAAAGAAGAATGAATTTAAGCTTGGAAATAAAATACACATCATTAAATATTGCATAGCAGCCTGGTACAGAGGCTGCTAACATGGAAGAAAAATAAGATAAGGGTGTATCTATCTATCTATCTAAACATTTTATTTATTTATTTGTAATTTTATAATTTTAAATACTTTTAACTTTGTTTATTGATCATACATTTATCACGCTTTCGGCACCATCAGTATTCATTGATCCAATTGGCAAAATTGGTTAAATTCAGATGGTTAAAATGCCAATATATATAAGATATCCTCCACCCCCCCAAAAAAAAATGTGTAAGGTTCTAGAGATTTAATTATAAATAAATAATAAACCCTAATTTAGGCTTGTTTGAATAATTCTATGACAGTACTTCAGGGCTTTTGAAGTTTGAAGTTTAAAATTTGAGTGTGTAGAAAGGTATGTTAATAACAACTATTCAATTATTCACATGCTGTTTTTATACAGGCAATTAATTTGAAACATAATAAGCAGTTTTATGTTTTGATTGAGCGCATTGCCAGTAAATGGTGGTATTTTTTTCAAGAAGTTTCCATATTTTGGGACACCCTGTATGCAATTCTCGATATAGGAGTTTAAAAAGTAATTTTTCAATATCAATAATTCATTCTTAATGTTTCCGGAGCTCAGAAGTGTGGACTGTGGAGTATCTCAAACACTAGATATCGATATTTAATTAAAGTTATCCATTCAGGGTATGACCAACACAAGATATCGAAGAGGAATTAAACCAACCCGTAGATCTGGATTAGATGGAGATCAATGCTTGATCCCGGGATTCAACAAACAAAAGTTATGACTTTAGGTTCAGATTATTTTCAGGGTTTAATTAATTCCTGATCAATATTCAAGGTTCACAGAATATTAGATCACGATGTGTAGAGTGCGCACATGTTTGGAGGGGGGGGGGGGTAACCGTAATATTCTCAGAAGGTATAAGGTATTATATAAAGCTCATTAAGCTAAGCAAAAGTGTATGCTGTAAGCATATTACTTAGAATTGTATTGCTGTTTACTGTACATAAATTAACTAGTCTATATAGCTGATTGTTATATCCATTGCAGAAAGTTTATCAACTTTGTTTAGAATTTTTTAAAAGCGAATTATTTTTATTTAAATATTATTATAAATTTAGCATTAAAAAGTAACCTTTGATTAAAATAATTGCAATATGATAAAGATAGGATTTAATCCATAATAAGGATGTAGAATAATAATCATAGTACGAATCTAAGATCTATAGATCGGTGGGATGGATTAGAAAGTTTATGATCTGTAAATATTTGAATGGGTTTCCTTCTCAGGGTACAAGGAAGACTAGGGAAGGTGGGAGAGGGTTGGATGAGGGATGATGATTGAAGGGGGGATATATACAGAGCAGAGCAGTACATAATCGTACGCAATATATACAGAGCAGAGCAGTACATAATCGTACGAAATATATACAGAGCAGAGTAGTACATAATCGTACGCAATATATACAGAGCAGAGTAGTGCATAATCGTACGCAATATATACAGAGCAGAGTAGTACAACATCGTAAGCAATATATAGAGCAGATTATTACATAATCGTACGCAATATGTACAGAGCAGAACAGTACGAAATCGTACGCAGTATATACAGATCAGAGCAGTACATAATTGTACGAAATATTTACCAAGCAGAGCAGTACACAATCGTACGAAATATTTACCAAGCAGAGCAGTACATAATCGTACGAAATGTTTACCAAGCAGAGCAGTACACACAGATCAGAGCAGTACATAATTGTACGAAATATTTACCAAGCAGAGCAGTACACAATCGTACGAAATATTTACCAAGCAGAGCAGTACATAATCGTACGAAATGTTTACCAAGCAGAGCAGTACACAATCGTACGAAATATTTACAAAGCAGAGCAGTACACAATCGTACGAAATATTTACCAAGCAGAGCAGTACATTACATAATACAGTTGATATATGATGTACAGCAGTTAATAGCCGCACGCATTAGGTACAGTTAAACTATGATGCACATGGCACATACCCAGTTATAAATGCACATGTTCGTATTTTAAGTACTGCGAAAAAAACAACACTTTTTTTCGCTTTACAATCTTCATACGATTCACTAGCATTTTATTTTAATCTAATTTTTCTCGGAACCTTTCCCAGTTTTAATTAAGTTTTATTTTGAAGTTTTGAACCTTTTTTATATTTTTTACAGATTTTTTTACCTGTTTCTTGCCACGGGTTCAGTAAACTTTTGAAGTTGAAGCACAGTACATTATATTCATACTTCTCAGCCTACAATATAAAATAAAGTTAAAAAGGGTGCAGGACTAAAGAGAGGAAATAGGACGAATTAAGTCAATTTCTCATCCTTAACGTTGGGATGAAGATTGGAAGAAGAAAGAAGGGCTAAACTTTTGGATCTTTAATTAGAGCCATCTGCAGAGCTTAGACAATTCAAACCCCCAACTCTTGGTTTAACCTTAGATGCTGAATCATTTTCAAGAACCAACAATGTATTTTTCTAAGGATTTAAGACATGATAATCAAAATGCAAAAATCACCAGTGAATGAAAAATTAAAATTTTGAAAAGTATTTTGACTTAAGTTTTACTTTAATCGAGTTCAAAATCAAATTCACAAATAAAAAAAAATAAAAATTGACCACAAAAAAATGGTAAATACGCATTTTTTTTCGTAGAAAAGGTTTTGTAAGATTGAGCAACTAAAAGTTGAAATAGAAGATAGGACAATTGAATAAAAAATGAATAATTGAGAACTATGAATTTATGAACTTTTATAGATTTCTGAATTACAGATATATTATCTTTGTAAAGATGAACTATAGATATATAGATGAATAATAGAATGATATGTTTAATCCAATAATATGAACTACATATGTGTATATAAACTATGGATACCAGGTGTACGGTATACATATTGAGTTTAATACACATTCTCACTTCAGGGCTAGAGTCGGGAAGGTATGGAAGGGGGGAGAAGAGAGGGGGGGGGATACTGAAACACTTATCTACGTCTTGTGATGTATGGGGAGAAGTTGGCCTGGAGGGAAAGGATGGGGGGTTGGGTTTGAATAAAATTGAATAATTTCAAGTCATGGACTAGTCCGTATACTAGGAGATTGAAGCTACTCAGTTCTACGGCTAGATACTTGAAGTTTCACTACAGTCGCATTAATATAATGCATAGATTAAGTAAGTGGAATAAACACCTCGACCCCATTCCTTTCTCCCACTGTACCCCCTTGAACCAAACCTAACCATAATCCTCCCTCCCCCTGTACACTCTTGAACCAAACCTAACCATATTCCTTCCTCCCCCTGTACACTCTTGAACCAAACCTAACCATATTCCTTCCTCCCCCTGTACCCCCTTGAACCAAACCTAACCATATTCCTCCCTCCCCCTGTACCCCCTTGAACCAAACCTAACCATATTCCTCCCTCCCCCTGTACCTCCTTGAACCAAACCTAACCATACTCCTCCCTCCCCCTGTACCACCTTGAACCTTACCTAACCTCCCCCTGTACCCCCTATAACCAAATTATAAACCCAGAAACCAACCAAACCAAACCTAATCAAAACCTTATATACATAATATACCAGAAATAAACATAAAACATAGAAGTGAAATTTTTCCATTTAACATCGTAGGTTCGAATTCTTTTTCCTTGCTTGTAGAAAACTTAGCAAACAAGAAATTAATAACTTACAGGAAAATGTTTAGATCCCTAATTAAAGTTTACCCTGCTGGGAATGACCACCACGAGATATAGAAGAGGAATTAAATTAATCCATAGATCTGCATAAGATTAAAACCAATGCTTAATCCCGAGATTAAAAACAAAAAAATTCTGACTTTAGGTCAAAGAATACAAAAAATAATAGAGTTATGTGTTAATTTACACTTTAATATCAGAACTTGAGTAGAATTTGGCGATTTTAAAAATTATGAACTATTGTAGCTTGAGAAACCAGCGTTGCCAAGGGTGCTCATGGTTACTCCCGCCGTTTACCCGCACTTGGTTGTAAATTACAATTTTAGCTATTTTTCCCTGTAAAAGTGGACACGATACACTTAGAATCTCAAAACCAAACTAAAACTTTTTCGTGGTTCTCCCGAGTTCCCCAATCAAAATTTGAGATAAATCTGTCATGGGGTTCATGAGTTATGATCGGACATCCAAACAAACAATACTGAAAAGTGAAAGATGATCTGTCAACTAAATCTGACCTAGGTATTTTATAAGGATGGGAAATGATATAATAGTGTAGATGTTGACTGACCAAGGTATTGTATAAGGATGGGAAATGATATAGCAGTGGAGATGTTGACGGACCAAGGTATTGTATAAGGATGGGAAATGATATAGCAGTGTAGATGTTGACTGATCAAGGTATTGTATAAGGATGGGAAATGATATAGCAGTGTAGATGTTGACTGATCAAGGTATTGTATAAGGATGGGAAATGATATAGCAGTGTAGATGTTGACTGACCAAGGCATTGTATAAGTATGGGTGGGTTCTGCACAGTTACCCAACTTTACGTGCTTTTTACTCGGGATAAACAATGGGCAAACCCTTCCTGCCATATTAGGTTAAATACCGTTCAATGGAAGGTTTATGGAGAGGAAGATGTTTACAGATTTTCAGACAGGGTTGAACACTTTTTAGCAAGAGTAATTTATCTATGTATCCACAAACTCGAATTTGATAATTCCTTTATCTTTGTAACTTGATGGTGTAATTTAAAACGTATAATTTGATCTAACAGAGTTTTTGATGAAATATGAAAGGTCTACGAGTCCGAGTTGCAAAGATATAGGGATATGAAAATTAGAGTTTGTGGCAAAACCCAATTCCTTTACTTTGATTTTGAATGGTTTTATATTCAGTATAGAGCAGATCTCTAACTCAAATTCTCTAATCCCATATCTTTGTAAACTGCTGGTTGATATAAATACTTTAAATACCAAAGGATTACAACATTAGATTGCAAGATATAAAGATTAGAAGATCTGTAGTCTTTTTGATGATGGTCAAAAATTATAGTGCTTTATTTTTATTGATATGAAAGTTTAAAAAACCTTAGAACTCAGCAAATGTAAACTTTTTCATTTAATTATTCTTTAAATAGTCATGGGTGGATAATTTTATTTGTTAATCACTAAATGTTCATGAAATTATTTGCTGAAAAGGGTACCGGTAGATAAATACATAAAACTAAAAAGGGGTTTAATGTTTTTGTTTATGATAAAGAAGTTAAAGATGTTCGTGAGGAGAAGATTAAAAGGTTTGAATATTCCCGGCTCCGGGTCCAAACTTGCATAGGTAGGCCTGCTCCACCAGCCACCACCAGCTGCCCATTCTACTCTTCCGCATCAGATTTATCAAGGTCATACAACAATGCCATTAAAATGCCAACAGAGAGGAGAGGAATGGTTAGGGACAAGAAACTTGACTGAGGAAAGCGGGAAGGGAAGGGTTCTAGGGATTTTATGCAAGATGAAAGATATGAATGTTTTGCTCTAAATCCAGACTTCGTTTAAATCCCCAAAATAACACACCTGGTCACAAACTTCATGATTAAACGCGTTTAACACTTTATAATCTGATTTTATCTATTCAATTCTATTAGTTAAACTAAGAACCTACCAATAAGTAACTTTAGATAAATGTTGTATCTTTGAAAGGGGTGTAAATGAGTTTATTTGAAGCCAGGTGTATACACTATATAGTTAGTATCACCCTCCTCCCCTCCACATCTTCACTGGTTCACTGCTCAAACACTACTGAGTACTGACACATGTATCGTTCAGGTCTCCTCATTCTACAACGGTATATTCTATTTAGATGTTTCGGGGGGGGGGGGTGATTTATTAAAATATTCCCAATAATCTAGGGCATGAACATATCTTTTAATTTCTTGTGTTTATAAAGAAATTGATCCAGTTTTTTAGTTTGTTTGATAAGTTTTTAATATGCTTCTTTTTCATTCAGTATAAATTCATCCATTGGTTTGATTGATTTATTAAACTTATCATTGGCAACTAAATGTTTTTTTTTTACCTTTTAAACGCAGTTTTAGTTATTCCAAAATATTCTCTTTTTCTTTTTCATGCTCTATTCTTCCCGTATCTTTTCTAAAAAACATTTTTTTTCAATTTGTTTGTTTGTTTTTGTTTGTATGTTTTCTACCGGATAAACTAGGAACTCATATGATCCCGTGGAAATATTCATCATTTGCCTCCCAAAAAAACTTAGATTTTTAACAAGAACAAAATTGTGTGATCTAAATATTTGTTGGTTTTAGATTTACTGATAAATAAAAATTGCAGTTAAAATCAAACCTAAATAATCAAACTTATAAAAGCTTTTAAATCTTCATATCTAAAGGACTACTAAAAAAGAGTAACCATTTGGCGAGGTTTGGATTAACTTTAAAGTATTTAACCCTATTCCTGCTGGGGGGGGGGGGTCAATTTGACCCCCCCTCAAAAAGTATTGGCCTGAGGCTGTTGAAATTTTCTGACTTTTCCTACATACCCAAAGCCCTTCCTTTAGGCCTAAAACCGGGCTTTAATACTAACTACATCAGTCCTCAGGCACACTGCCTGAATGACTGCTTTTTCCTGTAACAAACTAAATCTTTGTTTTGACCCACTTCCACTTGTCAGATTTTGATAAAATTTAGCTTTTTGGAAAGCTTTTGACATAACGAAAACCCCCCCAGCATATCCTGGTTTTCAAGTACCCCAGCAGAGATAGGGTTAACTATGTTTTGAATCAATACTTATTATGTATTAACAACATCAATTTTTGTATGTCTTTTATCCTAATCCATAACAATCTAAATATTTTCCTTCAAATCCAACATTTAAAGTCAAGAGGTACACGTTTTACAAAAAGTAGATTCATAACAAATATATAGAGCGTGGAAGTCAAGTGACAACAATGTCTGTTCAAAATTATTTATCAAAATAAAATCATTAATTAATATAATAAATTATTATTTTAGACTGAGCTTTAAAATCATGAATCTACGCAACTACTTTTCTTTTTTATCATTTTCTGAACATAAACAAATAAGAATGCAAATAAATCAAATATAACTTATTTATTGACCAAAAACATATGCAAACATATCTTTCTTGGTTTTAACATTCTCTGGGTATATACGTATTTGCTATATTTTCTTGGTTTTAACATTCTCTGGGTATATGCGTATTTTCTATATTTTTTTCGTCCTGGCATGATTGATACTGCTCTTGGTGGTGTAGTTGGTGTGTATTTGGGTGAACTACAGCACAGAGAAGAGATGACAGTAAATTGATTTCTTATCAAAGGTGCCGTAGGGCCTCCCCTCATGACCATTCTGAACCTCTACAGAGAAATATCAGTTTAACGGTTACATATACAAAACACCTTTGCGACGAAAAATTCTTTCGCGTTTTTTTCTCACTTTGAATAAATTCAGAAATTTACGATGTAGATCCCAGATGTCTATGTTTTTAAAGTACGACAAAGTGTATACTTGATAAATAAATAACGAATATATAAAAAGTATTAAAAAGTTAATTCTCCAGGGAAAGTATGGACTACAAAATAGATTTTTTCAATGGTTTCTCCCGGGGAGCTTAATCATTTTTTCACGATAAAAAATGTTTGGAAGAATTCTTTTTAGTGAGTTTATAGAATTTTTTTTTTTGATAATTTTAACATTATTAAACAAAATAAAAATTGTTTTCTACTTTTCATTAAATGCGTTCAATTATAAGGACTAACTTTCTCATCCGTATATCTTTGAAACCTCAAATTGTAAATTTTATAGATTTTCATCTTCAACTAATTTTTAAAGCAGAATTCATGGTTGGAAGTATGAGAAGTCTATGTTCTCATGTTGCTAGGATTGTTATTTTTTAGTTTAAGTCGAATACAAAGTTCCTTTAGTATAAACACTTTTTGGGGGATTAACTAGTACAGTATAGTGTGCTTGTTTTTTAGCAACAAATATGAGCAACAGAACCAAAAATAGTGTCTCATTTCATTATTTTATCAAATAACTCTTTTGAAATTTGAATTTCAAACTTTATTATTCTTAGTCCAGTATAGCAAATTGTATTTGATTTTCTTTTATTTAAATTAAACAATCGTTTTTTTCCTAGTAATCTTATTAAAGAAAATTTATTTTAGAAAACGAAACATTTAGACATTTATTATATTAAAATGAAATAAACCAAATAAAAAATTTAAGAAATATTAGATAGCTATCTCTGTATTAAGCAGAGGACTTGAACAGATAGCTCTGCATCAAGGAGAGGACTTGAACAGCTAGCTCTGTTTTAAGGAGAGGACTTGAACAGCTAGCTCTGTATTAAGGAGAGGACTTGAACATCTAGCTCTGTATTAAGGAGAGGACTTGAACAGCTAGCTCTGCATCAAGGAGAGGACTTGAACAGCTAGCTCTGTATTAAGGAAGAGGACTTGAATAGCTAGCTCTGCATCAAGGAGAGGACTTGAATAGATATCTCTGCATCAAGGAGAGGACTTCAATAGCTAGCTCTGTATTAAGAAGAGGACTTGAACAGCTAGCTCTGTATTAAGGAGTGGACTTGAACAGCTAGCTCTGTATTAAGGAGAGGACTTGAACAGCTAGCTCTGTATCAAGGAGAGGACTTGAATAGCTAGCTCTGTATCAAGGAGAGGACTTGAATAGCTAGCTCTGCATCAAGGAGAGGACTTGAATAACTATCTCTGTATTAAGGAGAGAACTTGAATAGCTAACTCTGTATCAAGGAGAGGACTTGAACAGCTAGTTCTGTATCAAGAGGAAGACTTGAATATCTAGCTCTGTATCAAGGAGAGGACTTGAATAGCTAGCTCTGTATCAAAATAAGGACTTGAATAGCTAGCTCTGTATCAAGAAGAGGACTTAAATATCTAGCTCTGTACCATGGGGAGTACTTGAATAGTTAGCTCTGTATCAAGGAGAGGACTTAAATATCTAGCTCTGTATCATGGGGAGGACTTGAATAGTTAGCTATGTATCAAGATTAGGACTTGAACAGCTAACTCTGTACCAAGATGAGGACTTGAATATCTAGCTCTGTACCAAGATGAGGACTTGAATAGCTAACTCTGTATCAAGATGAGAACCTGAATAGATATCTCTGTATCCCGACGAGAACCTGAATAGCTATCTCTGTATCCCGACGAGAACTTGAATAGCTAGCTCTGTATCCCGGCGAGAACCTGAATAGCTATCTCTGTATCCCGACGAGAATCTGAATAGCTATCTCTGTATCCCGGCAAGAACTAAAATGACTAGCTCTCTATCCCGACGAGAACCTAAATAGCTATCTCTTTATCCCGACGTGAACCTGAATAGCTAGCTCTGTATCAAGAAAAATTGCGCATTTGGGAAATTGACCCTTGGAAAAGTACATTGAAAACCAACCTTCTGTATTGACAAAGAGAATAGAATATATAGAGAGGAATTTACTAGAAAAAAGTGTAAAACGGCCATTTTGTTGTACTGTTTCCATACTGCAGGTGTACTTCACATATTTATGCTATATAACCTTTTGGGCCCTGGAATATCATTTTATTGAAAATCTAAAATTATTGTTAAAAGAAACCCAAATTATAAAATAGGCTGGTTTCATAATTGACCAATGATCATTTCACATAGACTCTATGCCTTCCACTTTATAAACGATGATTTTCTGTTATAATTATAATTCAAATGATGTTTTTATTCACCTAATTCATTATAAAGTTTATTTAACAGTTTAAAAAATTCGAAATTGAAATGAATAGTCTTGGGAACACACTGAATTAATGTACTCTACTGAATATAATTTGTGAACATTTACATGATTTGTACACTTTGAACTCCCTTTCAGGCTGAAAGGGACTGAAAAAATTCATACCGAGAGATTCTTTAATTCCTCTCTATATATTCTATTCTCTATGTGTATTGAGAATTTCTGAATTATAAAAACAGAGAAACTAATTTCTTCTCTCAAAGACAGATATTCCACGCTAAACTAAAAGGACAGATATTCCGCACTAAACTAAAAGGATAGAAATTCCACGCTAAACTAAAAGGATAGATATTCCACGCGAAACTAAACTCTATTATGAAATCCATTAAAACACTAATTATTATTATATTATACAATTCTTGGTGATTTTGCGTACATAAGCTATCTATGTTTATTTATTTATCTATGATTTTTAATGTGAAAGATGGATCCCATGTCAGGCTGTGACATCCGTCTTGTGTTTACATTAGAGCCCAGAGACAGTACACTGCAGTACTAAACATGCGTACAACTCTGAAATAACTATCTTTACATTATAATTCTTTAAGTATGCACCTATCGATCAAACAATGTTACCAACGGCCCACCACCCTAATGATTTAAAAGTTTACAACTCTATATCAACATTAAGTTGATTTTCAATCATTTCCTGGTTTAACTTGCTCTAAGAGAAATGTCCACATGGAACAGTGTCTTTATTTATTTATCTCCAAGGAGATTTCAGAGGATGGACTCAGATATAGCTTGCTTATGCTAAGAGAAAAGGAGGGTAGAAAGATAAATAGATAGAGAGATTAAGAGCGTATATAAAACCATTCTGTCGCCCACACTTCACATTAATAGTTAGGACGAGGGGTGAAAACAGAAATTTCGTTATTCTATTTTTTATTATTTATTCATTCATTATAATATGTATTGCATCCAAAATTACTATAATACCAAAACCATTTAGTAACTTAGTTATACGTTTTGTCGAGAGCGGTGTTCCGCAAAAGTTTTAAATTAATTGTCGAATTTGTGTTGATGTTTCTAAGCAACAGGAGGAATTCCGAAAAAAATAACTTTGAAGGCCCAATTTCCGGACACAAAAACGTCCAGAAAAACAATTTTTGGACACGAAAAGTTATAAAGACACAATTTCCGGACAGGAGATATTCTGTATAGACAATTCCGGAAACCTTAAATTTCAAAAAGATTCCGTATTCCAAATTTTCGGACAGGATAAATTTTCTGGAGAGCCAATTTCCGGACAGGAGCAATTTAGGATAGACCAAGTTATACAACAAAACTGAAAGCAAATACAAATGACATTACCGATCTCAGTCCGGGATCTTCTGATTTTGAATTGAATCATTTTTAAAAAACTTTAAAGAGGCTTAAAAATGTCCTAAATATTTTTATTTATCTATGTAGCTCGATTTTCAGAAAAAAATATTTTGTAACAACATTAAATACACTTAATTAATAATTGGACTTTAATGTCGTCTTGATTTTCTACAGTTTCCTTGTGTTCACTGTATTTACATTTTTTACTTCTCTTCAATATTTGATAGTATTTAGGGACTTATTTATTAAAAACCGACTCATTGTTGAATTGCGTAGACGTTCAACTTGATAACCTTGGTTCAACAAACAATTCTCTTTTGCTAAAACTGGTTGACCTAAGCTGTCCAGTTCAACTTCTTCTATTTATTAAATCAGAGTTTAAAACTTTAGAATGGGATATCCTTAAAGGGAGTGTTCGCGAAAAATGAAAGGGGGTATAGGCTTAATGCGATAAAAAAGCGCTTTTGATCGCCACTAATCTTACTTCTATCTGTTGCGTCTATAAGGAGAAAATTGTTAAAGACGTCTCATACCGAATAACATGGCGACCATACAAATTGAGAAAATTGCAACATACGACTTAGACCGTAAAAAAATCAATTTAATTTCAAACAAATCATTCAGATATTACAACCTATAGTCATCGATTATCTTTCGCCACATTTATATATAGTTGATTTTTCATAATATGTTTTAATTGTTATGATCTGAGAGTTACTTATAAAAACGTTTATTCCTGTTTCGAGGATTTTTGGTAATGAAGACGACATTTTCATATTTTCCAGGAATGTTCGAAAACAAGTTTTAAGCTAAATATTATTTTAAAAAACAAAATCAAAACTAGTATGAAATATTAAATATATACAAATGTGGCGAAAGATAATCGATGACTATAGGTTGTAATATCTGAATGATATCTGTTTGATATTAATTAGATTTTTTTACGGTCTAAGTCGTATGTTCCAACTTCCTCAATTTGTATGGGCGCTACGCTCTTCGGTATAAGACGTCTTTATCAATTTTCTCCTTATAGACGCAACAGATAGAAGTAAGATTAGTAGCGATCAAAAGCGCTTTTTTATCGCATTAAGCCTATACCCCCTTTCATTTTTCGCGAACACTCCCTTTAATCTCGATCGGTTAATTAATCTGAGCTGGGAACTTTAGAATGGTGGATATCGGGATCAATGCTTGATCCACTCTTTTTTTTTAATCTCCAGATTAAATATTCTTGTTTTCCTCATGAATTTAATCTCCAGATTAGTTTACAGATCGGGATTAAGGATATCACATTCTAAAGTTTTCAGCTCTGGAGATTGATAACAAGAGGAGAACAAGCAATATTTAATCTGAAGATTAAGAAAAAGAGTGGATCAAGCATTAATCCCTATATCCACCATTCTAAAGTTCCCAGCTCTGAGCTGAAAACTTTAGAATGGTGGATATCAGGATTAATGCTTAATCCACTCTTTTTCTTAATATTCAGATTAAATATGGCTTGTTTTCCTTATGAATTTAATCTCCACAGATCGGGATTAAGGATATCCCATTCTAAAGTTTTCAGCTCTGGTCTCCTAGTTCTCTTAGCTAACGTCTTCCTTAATTTCGGACATATTTCCTACTCTCAATTATCTCCACACATGTATGTATATATAATGTATAATTATAATTATCTACTTATTACTTTTTCATAATATACTTAGATACATTTTCTTTTACTGGCAGGAGATTGAATACTCTTATTTATAAAACTATTGTGTATACTTTATCACTCAAATTAAATTTCATTCCACATTATGACGTATGCTATAAAATAAATGATAATTTAGCTATGTAGTGCTTTGAAGTTTATATTGAAAAAAATTGAAATAAACTATTATTTTTTATTTCTGCTCTGTTAAAAAGCTAGGGAAAAATATAATCTAAAGACGCTTAAAATTATGTTTAAACGACGGAATAGATAATTCGGCTCATTTTGCATTTATCCAATTAGTTTGCAAGCCCTCGTGCTAAAATCTGAGAATTTTGTCAATTAGTTTAGTTATTAAAATAAAAGCTAAAAGTAAATGGTTTACAGTTCTAAGAGATGTACACATGTCTTGTAAATTAATTCAGCTTTTAACAGCTTTTAGGATCCATGTGTAGAAACAGATTGGAAAATAGCATTTTTTGAGAAATCAATTATAAATGTTATCAAATGTAAAATATAAATTCATTTCTTTAGAAAATGTACGTTTTGAAATCCTTAAGCTAAAGCTCTTAGAATTTGATTGGGAGAAGGAGAGAAATGGGGGCAAAATATTCAGAGCATATATATGGATCTAGACTGCTATGAAGGGTTGCATCAAGTTTAAAGACTGCACCGACTTTGAACCGTTGCAACGCCTTGCCCTTACATTTTTAAAGCCAACTCATGCACATTTTAAAACTAAAATAAAAATTGATTTCAGCTTTAGGTTTGAGAAGTAATTTACAATATTTTCATAGATTTTTTGCAAGAGAGCTTTCAACCTTTGGATCACAGCGAATGCTAGAATTTTCTAATCCCTATATTTTTGTAACCTTATGGAGTAAGCGTTTTACCCCTTACTTTAACTATTCGCGCAAGAGGAATTTGAAATTTGAAATTGATTATGAAATTAGATTGCAAAGATTAAACGATGTTGAATTCCGATTTAAAAGCAAGTTGTCAGTTCCCCGAAAATGATTAAAGAATGCAAAACAAGGGAGCAGTTACATGGATGAGAAATATTAAAAATCTTGATGGATGGTGATCATTTGATTAATCATAGTTTTTATTTCAGAGAAGCTAATTATAGAATGAGTCTGAAAATAGAGGCATCCCGGGATAGGATCGGGAGTACTACTAGGTATTATGCAAACAAACTATTATCCTAACCCAACCTTACTCTACCATCTAATCTTTACTTGTCCTAACTCGTCCTTAATCCACCACATAATCTTTACCAATCCTAATCCAACCTTACTCTACCAACTAATCTTTACTTATCCTAATCCAACCTTACTCTACCATCTAATCTTTACTTATCCTAAACCAATCTTACTCTACCAACTAATCTTTACTTATCCTAACCCGTCCTTAATCCACCAACTAATCTTTACTTATCCTAATCCAACCTTACTCTACCAGCTAATCTTTACTTATCCTAACCCATCTTTCCTCCACCATCTAATCTTTACTTATTCTAACCCAACCTTATTCCACCATCTAATCTTTACTTATTCTAACCCAACTTTCCTCAACCATCTAATCTTTACTTATTCTAACCTATCCTTACTCCACCATCTAATCATTACCTATTCTAATCCATCCTAACTTCACCATCTAATCTTTACCTATTCTAATCCATCCTTACTCCACCATCTAATCTTTACCTATTCTAATCCATCCTTACTCTACCAACTAATCTTTACCTATTCTAATCCATCCTTACTCCACCATCTAATCTTTACTTATTCTAACCCATCCTTACTCCACAATCTAATCTTTACTTATTCTAACCCATCTTTCCTCCACCATCTAATCTTTACTTATTTTAACCCAACCTTACTCTACCAACTAGTCTTTACTTATTCTAACCCATCCTTACTCCACCATCTAATCTTTACTTATTCTAGCCCATCTTTCCTCCACCATCTAATCTTTACTTATTCTAACCCAACCTTACTCCACCATCTAATCTTTACTTATTCTAACCCATCTTTCCTCCACCATCTAATCTTTACTTATTCTAACCCATCCTTACTCAACCATCTAATCTTTACTTATTCTAACCCATCCTTACTCCACCATCTAATCTTTACTTATTCTAACCCATCCTTACTCCACCATCTAATCTTTACTTATTCTAACCCATCCTTGCTCCTCAAATTGATCCAAAACTAAATAATGCTTTCCTATTTAATTACTAACCTGTCTTTTTACAATTGAATAAAAGGCTGACAAGTTTTTTTTTATAAAGAAAAAGAATTTTATTGATGATTTAAGAATTATCAAACCAAATTTATTTACATCACGTCAAAAAAAGTAAATTTTTTGCTAATTGGAAACAGATTATCAAGTACAATATGTGGCAATGAGATTTCATAGAAATTAAGCATGGCGTCATTGATGTCAAATGTGAAAACAGTCATGCACTTTTAAGTAAAGAGGAAACTAAATAAAACAGTATATTAAAGTAGATACGAGGTCACAATATCGTACCAGTAATGTCTTATAAATTTGACCTTCGTAATCTATCTATAGTGGAGTGTTGCATACACATAAATACATAGACATAGAATATACATACTAAACTATAGTGGAGTGTTACATACACATAAATACATACACATAGAATATACATACTAAACTATAGTGGAGTGTTACGTACACATAAATACATAGACATAGAATATACATACTAAACTATAGTGGAGTGTTGCATATACATAAATACATACACATAGAATATACATACTAAACTATAATGGAGTGTTACATACACATAAATACATACTAAACTATAGTGGAGTGTTACATACAAACAAATACATACACCAAGAATATACATACTAAACTATAGTGGAGTGATACATATACATAAATACATACACATAGAATATACATACTAAATTATAGTGGAGTGTTACATATACATAAATACATACAAAAAGATATAAACATACTAAACTATGGTGGAGTGTCACATAGACATAGAATATACATTCTAAACTATACATTTAAGCCAAGCACCACTGGGTTGTAAAAAAATATAGTTGAGAGCATCAATATTTTGATAAGGATTTAATCTATTTTTGTAAGATATTTATATATAATATTTGGATAATATTATTTATCTGTTATTGGAAATCAATCGAAAAAGAATTATGATAAAAAAAATAAATTCTTCAGGTCAATTTTTAATTGTTAAACGTATTCCAACTAAGATTATTCCCCAAAATTGTTAAAAAAGAAAAAATTTCAATTTGCAAATGATTGTTTATGAAATGAGGGGGAAATACGATTCATAACGTTAATCTTTAAACTTTCTCTGGATAAACCCGATAAAATATCTGTATATTTCTCAACATTTATTATTTAACACTTTTTAAGAAAGAACAATTAACATCTGTCTAAAGTTAAGTCATTCTACTCCCACTGGTTTATTAAAATTATTAAAAAACAAATTAATAATACTTATTCTTTCGATACTAGCTGAAGTTCCCGACGTTGCCCAGGTTTATTATTCATTGTCATTGTTACTCCCGTTGTTTACCTGCGCTAAATATTGATTCACGACTTTTGCTGGCGTCCGCGTGGTATTTCGGCAATTTCCTGAAGGAACTTTGTTTTTGCCACGCCCACAAACTTAGGTTTTCTAAACATTTTATCTTTGGAACCCGATGTCGTAGACCTTTGATATTTCAAACTATGGATTCTGTTAGTCAAATAGTCTATCCTTGGAATATCAAAGGATGCTATAGATAAAAGAATTAGATAAAAGAATTAGAAAATTTTAGTTTGTGGCAAAAACTCATATGTGTGGAATATCCCATGGGTTCCCTAAAAAAATTCAGTCAATTTGATCCAGCCGTTTGGCCAGCTATAACGAACACTTTAATATATATAAATATGAAGAAGAAGAAGAAGAAGAGGTTGATTGAATAGATTTAATTTCAGCAGCTCCAGTAGTCTCGGGCTGAGTAAACTTATTTAATTTCAGTAGCTCCTGTAGTCTCGGGCTGAGTAAACTTATTTAATTTCAGTAGCTCCTGTAGTCTCGGGCTCAGTAAACTTATTTAATTTCAGTAGCTCCTGTAGTCTCGGGCTGAGTAAACTTATTTAATTTCAGTAGCTCCTATAGTATCGGGCTGAGTAAACTTATTTAATTTCAGTAGCTCCAGTAGTCTCGGGCTGAGTAAACTTATTTAATTTCAGTAGCTCCTATAGTATCGGGCTGAGTAAACTTATTTAATTTCAGTAGCTCCAGTAGTCTCGGGCTGAGTAAACTTATTTAATTTCAGTAGCTCCAGTAGTCTCGGGCTGAGTAAACTTATTTAATTTCAGTAGCTCCAGTAGTCCCAGGCTGAGTAAACTTATTTAGTTTCAGTAGCTCCAGTAGTCCCCGGCTGAGTAAACATATTTAATTTCAGTAGCTCCAGTAGTCCCAGGCAGAGTAAATTTGTTTAATTTCAGTAGCTCCAGTAGTCCCAGGCTGAGTAAACTTAATGTATCAAAGATGGGATACAGGTATAAACAGCTCCAGACCAGATCTTAAATTAAATGTTGAAACTAAATTTGGGATTTTTGTGGAAACCAAAATGTGTGCTTTTTCTGAGATACGAACAAAATTTTCACGAATCTAATCTAATTTTTTGATACTTTTTTGCTGTAAATTTGAAGCGGCCTAAATCTTATAGAGATCAAAACTTTTTGCAAATCTTTCCAGTACCAACGTAGTTAACCCTAACCTGCTGGGGGATTAAGGGTAGTATTGTGCAATACGTTATTTTTTGGAGGGTTTTTCAGGCTATTTGAACTTTTAAAGATAATTAAATTAATTAATTAATTAAAACTATCGTTTTTGCTTCATTTTCCCCCTAAAAATAATTTACAGAATCCAGTTCTGAAATGCTGGAAGTTTACTTAAAAATTTGTAAAAAATAATTAAACTGAACCCTGGTAAAGGGGCGCCTCGCCGCCGCCCAGTCATATTGCAATGTAAAATGTCAAAACTAACCCAAGATATCTATTTATCAGGGTGGTTCTGATTGGTCCTAGAAACGTTGGAAAAACATCAATAGTATCCCAGGAACTATATTCAGTAGTATTTTAGTTTATTCTTTTTTTTCTTTTGTGATTATTTTTAAAGAAATTGTTTTATGTTTGAAAAACAAATTTTAATGATCGTTTATGAAACCATGAGCCGGAAACTTTTGTTTTGGATCTGCTTAATCCCTATCGCTTGTTCTCGAATATCCACTGTGGGCCCTTTTAATTTGAGATTTAATGCATATCTCTTTTTTTCAGTTACCTTTTCAGGGTATACTATTACACTGCGAATAAAGATTAAAAAAGTCTGCAGATTTAAAAAATCGAAATTAAAGGGAGTGTTTGCGAAAAATGAAAGGGGGTACAGGCTTAATGCGATAAAAATGTTTTGATTTTATTTTTTTAAATAATATTCAGCAATTGCAACTAGTTTTCAAACATTCCTGGAAAATATGAAAATGTCGTCTTCATTACCAAAAATCCTCGAAACAGGAATAAATGTTTTTATAAGTAACTCTCAGATCATAACAATTAAAACACATTATGAAAAATCAACTATATACAAATGTGGCGAAAGATAATCGAGGACTATAGGTTGTAATATCTGAATGATTTGTTTGAAATTAAATTGATTGTTTTACGGTCTAAGTCGTATGTTGCATCTTTCTGAATTTGTATGGACACTACGTTCTTCGGTATTAGTTGTTTTTAACAATTTTCTCCCTATAGACGCAACCGATAGAAGTAAGATTAGTAGCGATCAAAAGCGCTTTTTTATCGCATTAAGCCTATACCCCCTTTCTTTTTTTCGCGAACACTCCCTTTGAGCATTGATCTCGATTTCCACAATTTAAGAGTTTTAAGTTCAGAGCTAAGAACTTTTAAATGAGATAAAGTTTAGCCGCATGCCTAGACGTTCTAGTATACACTGTTTGAAGGAACCCGGACATTTTCTACGAAATTTAAGATTATGAACATTTTGTTAACACTTGATAACACAGTGTTATCTCCCCCATTTTTAGCTGGATTTAACGTTCAAAAATGGTTTCAAATTTTCTAAATTATTTCAACTTTTTTTTAAAATTTAAAAAAATCCTCTCATATTTAACAAATCCTTATGTCACAGTTAAGTTATTTTCAATGAATTTAAATTCCTGCTAAAATTCATGAATTTGCTCCTATATTTAGTTAAATTCTAATTTGAAATCTTAAATTTTAAATTTAATTTAAATTGATTAATTTCCGTAATTGTACAAGTGACGTTTTTAGAAAAGCAAATTCATTCGTAAAATCTTTTTGAAATAACATTTTTTTAATGTTTAACAATTAAAGAACTGTAATGTTCTATAGAATCTGAATATAGTTACTCACACTGCAGTTCCTTTACGACCAGTTCTCGGATAAATACGAAGAAACAGTTGAGGAAATGTACAGGTGAGAAACATAACATTTCAGGAAATGTACAGGTGAGAATCATAACATTTCAGGAAATGTACAGGTGAGAAACATAACATTTCAGGAAATGTACAGGTGAGAAACATAACATTTGAGGAAATGTACAGGTAAGAAACATAAGGATGAGGAAATGTACAGGTGAGAAACATAACAGCTGAGGATATGTACAGGTAAGAAACGTAACAGTTGAGGAAATGTACAGGTGAGAAACATAACAGTTAAGGAATTGTATAGGTATGAAACATAACAGATGAGGAAATGTACAGGTGGGAAACATAACAGCTGAGGATATGTACAGGTAAGAAACATTACAGTTGAGGAAATGTACAGGTGAGAAACATAACAGTAGAGTAAATGTACAGGTGAGAAACATAACAGTTAAGGAATTGTATAGGTACGAAACATAACAGTTGAGGAAATGTACAGGTGGGAATCATAACAATTGAGAAAATGTACAGGTGTGAAGCATAAAAGTTGAGGAAATAAACAAGTGAGAAACATAAAAGTTGAGGAAATGTACAAGTGAGAAATATAACATTTGAGGAAATGTGCAGGCACGAAACATAACAGTTGAGGTAATGTACAGGTACAAAAACCTAATAGTTGAGGAAATGTACAGGTTAGAAACATAACAGTTGAGGAAATGTAGAGGTACGAAGCGTAATGACTGAGCATATGTAAAGGTGAATAACATAACAGTCAAGAATATGTACAGGTGAGAAACATAACAGTTGAGGTTGAGGAAATGTACATGTGAGAAACACAGTTGAAGAAATTTACAGGTGGGAAACATAACAGTTGAGAAAAAGCACAGGTAAGATACAAAACAGTTGAGGAAATGTACAGGTGAGAAACATAACAGTTGAGGAAATGTACAGGTGGGAACCATAACAGTTGAGGAAATGTATGGTGGGAAATTTTCTAAAAGTTATAAAAAAAAAACTATTTTATCCGAGCCGAAAACTTTAGAATTGTGGATATCGAGATCATTGCTCGATCTTCTCTTTTTGTTGATCAAAAGATTATACCCAGGAAAGTTTCTAAACTTCAACCAATCAGAGCCGTGTGTTCAGTGGTGCGCACTTTTCAATTAATGAACCTTTATTGGTCGGAACCCAAAAAGAGGGGAAAAGAGCAAGTGAAGCAGACATCAAAAGTGTCCACAGGTTAAGCGGTCGGTATTATGGGTATCCAATTCTAAAGTTTTCAACTGTGTAGATTTGAAACCTATTTTTTATTCAGAGGAGAGTTTGATCTGGATGGGGAGGAGTTTGCTATAAATATACAGGTGGGCCGCGGACACAAAGTACATTAAAAGGATTTGTAGATAGGGTTTTCGATTCACAATAGTACCCTTTTTACCTTTGACCGATCAAGGTTAATAACATTGGCTTTACAAGAAGGGAATGGTTTATTTGTTGTAAAGCACAAATTTGTACTGTACAGCTTGCTCTAACTAGCCAAAGGTCTGCGGCACTTTCTATGTACCGGAGTTTACAATGAGACGGACATATTTTTCATTTCTCTTCAGAAACACTTGTAATTGTAACTTTGTTTGCAACCTGCTTTTAAACTAAAAAATGTTATTATTGACTTTCTAAAAGTCGAGTCCCAGATAATAAATATTTTCATTTAATTTTTTGAAATTCTCTAGTATCGATGATCAAAGTTAGTTTAAAGGGTTCTGTTGTAATTCAGGTATTTTCTCTGCATTTCAGGATACAGGGGGAATACAAGATTATGTTCAGGATACAGGGGGAATACAAGATTATGTTCAGGATACAGGGGGAATACAAGATTATGTTCAGGATACAGGGGGAATACAAGATTATGTTCAGGATACAGGGGGAATACAAGATTATGTTCAGGATACAGGGGGAATACACGATTATGTTCAGGATACAGGGGGAATACAAGATTATTTTTAGGATACAAGGGCCGTTCATATAACCGAGAGTCTGTTTAAGAAAACATTGGGTTCATACATACAACATTATGTTCAGAATAAAAGGGGCTCATATATACGAGATTATGTTCAGGATAAAGCGTGATCATATAATACACGATTATGTTCAGGATACAAGGGGCTCATATATACAAGATTATGTTCTGGATACAGGGGGTTCATATAATACACAATTATGTTCAGGATACAGGGGTAATATAAGATAATGTTCAGGATACAGGGGGTTCATATTTACACGATTATGTTCAGGATGCGCAGGGGAATCATACATATAACATTATGTTCAGGATAAAAGGGGTTCATATATACAAGATTATATTCGGGATAAAGGGTGTTCATATAATACAAGATTATGTTCAGGATACAGGCGGTTCATATATACAACATTATGTTCAGGATACATGGGGTTCATATAAACAACATTATGTTCAGGTTACAAGGGGTTCATACATGCACGATTGTGTTTAGGATACAGGGGGTGCATATATACAGCTAGCTAGATATGTTGAGGATACAGGGGTTTTTTATATACAAGATTATGTTCAGGGAACAGGGGGTTCATGTATACAAGATTATGTTCAGAATACAGGAGGTTCATATATACAGCTAGATATGTTCAGGATACAGGGGGTTCATATATATAAGATTATGTTTAGGATACAGGGGGTTCATATATACAGCTAGATATGTTCAGGATACAGGAGGTTTATGTATACAGCTAGATATGCTCAGGATACAGGAGGTTCATGTATACAAGATTATGTTCAGGATACAGGGGTTCATATATACAGCTAGATATGTTCAGGATACAGGGGGTTCATATATACAAGATTATGTTCAGGATACAGGGGGTTCATATATACAAGATTTCCCTGCCATGATGGAAGTATCGTTGGCTGCAGCTGATGCTGTTATACTGGGTAATAATTATTATTTATCTACCAAATATGTGACCATCGAGCTAAGCAAAGTTGTTATCTGGCAAAGTTATCATCTGACAAAATAGTAATCTTGAAAAGATTTCATCTGACAAAGTTGTCATCTGGCAAAGTTGTCATCTGACAAAGTTGTCATCTGGCAAAGTTATCATCTGGCAAAATAGTAATCTGGAAAAGATTTCATCTGACAAAGTTGTCATCCTGGCAAAGTTATCATCTGGAAAAGTTGTCATCTGGAAAAGTTGATATCTGACAAAGTTGTCATTTGGAAAAGTTTACATCTGACAAAGTTGTCATTTGACAACGCTGTCGTCCTGGAAAAGTTGTCATCTGGCAAAGTTGTCATCTGATAAAGATGTCATCCTGGAAAAGTTGTCATCCTGGAACAGTTGTCATCTGGCAAAGTTGTCATCTGGCAAAGTTGTCATCTGACAAAGATGTCATCCTGGAAAAGTTGTCATCCTGGAACAGTTGTCATCTGGCAAAGTTGTCATGCGGCAAAGTTGTCATCTGGCAAATTTGTTTGATAAGCAAAGTTCCAGTCGGAAAAAGAAGTGCTTAAATTCTTACAGTTATAGTTGCCAATTATTATTTCCTGAAACTTTTAAATTGAATTTTATTTTCGAAAACAACAGAATTCAGGAGACGAATAAAATGTCTTAACTCTAAATTCGAAATGAACTTCCAATTGAACCATGATGCTCTTGTAAGCCTTTATACCGGTGAATAAGTTGTCAACAAATTTGGAAATGAATCCTAAACGATTAAACATGATTGTTTATATACAATTAACCCCTTTCCTGATGATTAGGTTGTCGAAAAATTGTGACTTCTCTTTCAGATAAAAAAGAAACGTTTAAAATGATTTTTTTGTTACTTTAGTCTTTTCCCTGAACGATCCTGAAACGTTCCAAGATGCAAAAAGGCTATGGGTTAATACCTTACAGGTACAGAACATTTTTTTTCTCTAAAATGCCCGTTTTAACCTTCAAAAGAAGAGCTTAATATTTTTAAATTTGCTCGATCTCTCTTCAAAATATTTTCAAACATTTTTAAATCATAATTTTTAAGAATTGAAAAAATTGCGTATTTTCAATAAAAGAATTGAGTTTTTTTTATTTGTTTGAACATCTTAGGAAAAGAGACCAAGTACATTTTTTTGTACAATCTGAAGGTCACATTGGCATTTTAGAACAAAATATTTCAACGACCCTCCCCCCCTCCACTTAATGGGCATTGTACCTGCTGGTAACACTATTTAGTACAATAAAACCACGTTTGGTGGGTTGAAAAACTAGGTTTGGTAGGTTGAAAAACTAGGTTTGGTGGGTTGAAAAACTAGGTTTGGTGGGTTGAAAAGCCACGCTTGGTGGGTTGAAAAACTAGGTTTGGTGGGTTGAAAAACTAGGCTTCGTGGGTTGAAAAACTAGGTTTCGTGGGTTGAAAAACTAGGTTTGGTGGGTTGAAAAACTAGGTTTGGTGGGTTGAAAAACTAGGTTTGGTGGGTTGAAAAACTAGGTTTGGTGGGTTGAAAAACTAGGTTTGTTGGGTTGAAAAACAATTCATATCTTCGGAAATATGACCAAGCACATTTTTGAATATTATGCCTAATTTTTATGGTTAAACCGACATTTTAGAGAAAAATGTTTTATCGACGCCCCCCCCCCTTGTATGGCTTGAAAGCTTAAGCATTTTTTTCAGAGACACGCTTTAGGCGTTATTAAAAAAACTTTAACACTAAAATGGAAGATGGAGAATGCTGGAGGAAAAGTGCTTTTTGAACATATTTTACAAAGGCATTAAGTCATATTAAATACAAATACAACCAATTTTTGACTTTTGGACTTTTTTATGTACTTTTTGGATTTATCATACTCAATGAGAATTAACGGATAATTTGTCAATTAACAACAGACAATGATCGGATTTTTCGTACCAATTATTTGAGAGTAATTTACAAAAGATGATAAAAAGTAAAAGATTGGATGTCTTACGAATGTTTTAAAATGGTCAACATTATTTTTACCTTTAAACCCGACGAAGATAAAAAAATAAAATAAATTAAATTTTAGATTATATTCTAAACAAATTCTCATATAATTTTGAGGGTAAAAAATGAATTGCCGAAACTAGTAGTTTTGTTATTGGAATCATACTAATATGTTTACAAAGTTATGCTGCGGTGAACAAAGACGATCTGTAAGTCGTCAGTTAACTCCCACGCTTATTGGGGCACCCTGTATCTAGATAAAATCTGGTGGTTTAGCTGTACTAGTGGTTGGGAACAAACTTGATCTGGGTTCACAGCTAACTGAGGAGGATCAATGTTCTATACAGACAGATTGGGGGTGTACTTTTCTAGGTCAGTACATGAGTACACATACTATTCTAGGTCAATACATGAGTACACATACTATTCTAGGTCAGTACATGAGTACACATACTATTCTAGGTCAGTACATGAGTACACATACTATTCTAGGTCAGTACATGAGTACACATACTATTCTAGGTCAGTACATGAGTACACATACTATTCTAGGTCAGTACATGAGTATACATACTATTCTAGGTCAGTACATGAGTATACATACTATTCTAGGTAAGTACATGAGTACACATACTATTCTAGGTAAGTACATGAGTACACATACTATTCTTGCGATACAAATAAAGCAACCGCTCCCATGAAATATTCTTGAATTTGATAAAGCCAACATTTTTCAAAAATTGGTGCAAATAATAAAAAATATGTAAACATTTTACAATATTAAAAAATATGTGAAACGTATACAATATTAAAAATAATAAAAAATATGTAAAAAGTATACAATATTAAAAATAATAAAAAATATGTAAAAAGTATACAATATTATTAAACGAGATCTACAAACAGTACTAAACAATCAACGTTATTAAGGATATACACAGTACTAAACAATCAATTTATTAAGGATATATACACAGTACTAAACAATCAAAGCTATTAAGGATCTGTACACAGTACTAAACAATCAATTTTATTAAGGATATATACACAGTACTAAACAATCAATTTTATTAAGGATATATACACAGTACTAAACAATCAAAGCTATTAAGGATCTGTACACAGTACTAAACAATCAACGTTATTAAGGATCTATACACAGTACTAAACAATCAACGTTATTAAGGATATACACACAGTACTAAACAATCAACGTTATTAAGGATATATACACAGTACTAAACAATCAAAGCTATTAAGGATCTATACACAGTATTATACGTTCATACGTTCATTGTTTAGCACTGTGTATAGATCCTTACTAACGTTGATTGTTTAGTACTGTGTACAGATCTTTAATAACGTTGATTGTTTAGTACTGTGTGTATATCATTAATAACGTTGATTGTTTAGTACTGTGTACAGATCCTTAATAACGTTGATTGTTTTGTACTGTGTATATATCCTTAATAACGTTGATTGTTTAGTAATGTGTGTAGATCCTTAATAACGTTGATTGTTTAGTACTGTGTACAGATCTTTAATAACGTTGATTGTTTAGTACTGTGTGTATATCATTAATAACGTTAATTGTTTAGTACTGTGTATAGATCCTTAATAACGTTGATGTTTAGTACTGTGTATATATCCTTAATAACGTTGATTGTTTAGTACTGTGTATAGATCATTAATAACGTTGATTGTTTTGTACTGTGTGTAGATCCTTAATAACGTTGATTGTTTAGTACTGTGTATAGATCCTTAATAACGTTGATTGTTTTGTACTGTGTGTAGATCCTTAATAACGTTGATTGTTTAGTACTGTGTATAGATCCTTAATAACGTTGATTGTTTAGTACTGTGTATAGATCCTTTATAACGTTGATTGTTTAGGACTGTGTATATATCCTTAATAACGTTGATTGTTTAGTACTGTGTACAGATCCTTAATAACGTTGATTGTATAGTACTGTGTATATATCCTTTATAACGTTGATTGTTTAGGACTGTGTATATATCCTTAATAACGTTGATTGTTTAGTACTGTGTACAGATCCTTAATAACGTTGATTGTTTAGTACTGTGTATATATCCTTAATAACGTTGATTGTTTTGTACTGTGTGTAGATCCTTAATAACGTTGATTGTTTAGTACTGTGTATATATCCTTAATAACGTTGATGTTTAGTACTGTGTGTAGATCCTTAATAACGTTGATTGTTTAGTACTGTGTATATATCCTTAATAACGTT